TACCATATGACCTTGGGATTCTATGAATTTGTCACAATTTTTTTTTATGAAAATGTGTGTCGTAGTCAGGTAAGCGTGCTATTGTTAGACATGTAGACTTTCTCGAATGGAAAGAAGCTAGCTTAATGTAGATATAAACGATTAAGAAAACAGAGTGTAAGTCAAACATGGAATTCTTAAATGTTTTACACAGTGGTGTAATCTGCTTATGCGTTTGGATTATACACAAAAACTCCGTCAGTCGCAGTCCTGTGTATTGAGTGTTAATATGTACATACACACGCGACTGATATAGGATTACTTTGTTAGGGCCTAAGCACCAGGCGGACGAACAGTACACCTCTGATTTAACAGAGGCAGCGTACTGCCTGCCATTTACTCGTCTTCTTCGACACTGATATCGCACACCAGTTATCAACAGAACGTACACATTCAACTTTAGACCAGTCTGTTGAACTGTTAAGGACTTTTAAACTGGGTGTTGTTAACTAGTCAGGAGCAAATGGCGAGATTAATGGCACCTGTTTAAAAAGAATTATACGTGATATGGTTTGACAGGGTATTTTATGTCCTTGATATTCAGCAAACAGGAAAAATCAACACTCAACACTCTGGAGGATCCTTCAGAGAATAATTCTGGGAATTTTATAGACTTTCAAGAGTTTAGGTTTCTAAAGAAGAATGTCATTTACTATCAAGTGGTACAATACATGAGTTTTCAAGAGGCTATCTGAAAAGGAGTACAGGATTTGATAGGAGCTGTACATTGGAGGGCAGTAAAATTGAGATGTGTAATTTTTACTTGAGATTTTTCAACTCACAATAGTGTGTCCTTTGTCAAGTGTGTTGTGAACTGTCGGTGGTGCCATTTGGTCGTTAAGTTTATATATGAGAATACCTGGGATACATACCTGTGTAATAGACACCTGCCAGGTACAAAGTCCGGACTCTGACCATCTATTTTACGGGACACGTCCATGGCTACAAGAGTCTTTTATTTTCAAGATTTTTGGCACCTGTCGGATGATATAAGGTTTAAGGTGATCTGAATTAAGTTTAGGCAGATATATGATCTATACAGGTGAAGTGACTACTGAAGACTACTGTTGAACCTTTGGAATATAATTAATCAATTAACCCATTCATGAAAATTTCATGACAGACAGGACAGTGTATAATATACATCTGTTCAGTATTGTTCAGCAGAGAGGCATACTGTATATATACAAAAATGTTCCATTAGTCAGTCCTAAGAACAGATTTGAATTTGGAATTCTATTTATACAACAGAATTAATTTTACCTTTAAACATTAGAAGGGCAAGCACTTGTACTTAATTACGATTAATAGGTTTGATTTGACTGTTCCCGACTATTTTACGCACCGTTTACTTTTGGACATTGTCTAGGTTGTACAGGTGAATTTTTCATGAATAATGTTAATGAAATCCGATTTTAGTGTTCCTTCTGTAGCCTAATCAATGCTCAGTCAGGTTTCTGTGTTGGAGACTTCTACCGACTAAACAACGTATCAACTGTTACGGACTTTCCAGATTCTCTACATACATGTATATATAACAGGAATGTCCATTGTGGTCAACAGTTTAGACTTTCCAGATCCTGTGTAGATTCATTTCGGGACTGTCCATTGTGGTCAACAGTTAAGAACTTTCGAGATCCTGTGGTCATCAGTTCGGACTTCTTGATACTGTGTAGATTTATATTTGTACTGTCAAGTTCGGACTCTCCAGATCCTGTGTGGTGTTATATCAGGGTTTTCCTATGTGGTAACCCTTTACAACTCCGTGTATAGCGGTATTTCAGGACTGTTCAGTATCATTTCACCAGTGTATACTGGAGTTTAATTTTTGATCATCAGTGTACCGATTAATGAGCTTAGTGGTGGATTACATATGTCTGTTGTTTGTTAAACTGGCAAGACAGTTCAACAGAATTAATCTTTAACAGGACTTGTGGTGCATTTTGCCTGAACCCTGTATTCAGGGTCGACAGTAATGTACTGATTGACAGGAGTACACCTGTGTCTGTATGTTGAGGTGTTAGTCGACAGTAACCATCATGTCTACAGCGTGGATTACCTGTAAATACTTACCTCGTGTTCCGGAGAACATCTTCACAATGCCAGGTAATTAACAATGGAGTCAAATTATCATTAAATAATCACTATCTATGACTTAGAAAGTAGGAAGAAAAAGTAGCAGGTCCTAAAGACAGGTTTCCTTGTATTTATCTTTTGTCTGGTTGCCAACATGTTCTGCCTGCTTGGCGGGCTGTTGCTAGGGTACAATATTTCTATCACTGTTACATTTTAATTTCTATCCCTGTTACATTTTAAGTTCGATTGATAACCAAAAAGATGAACTTTAACATATATGTTGGATTCTGGATTATCTTCCGAATTAGTATCAAATTTATCAAAGTGGAAGAAAACATTAAATAATTTCATTTATGACTGTCTCATCTCAAAGATTTTCCCCCCTCCAAACAACCTGACAGGGAAGATCCATAGTTTTTCCGATATTGGCACAAAATTGAAGGCTTAACAGTCAATATTACAAAGAGTTTTGTATTTGTATGTATAGCCATGACTTAGTCAGGAAACGGAGGGGCCGCGGTGGCAAAGTGGTTAAGGCGTGCGACATTCTGCTACCACTAGCCCTCCACCAGTGGGTCCCGGGTCCGAGACCTACGTGGGGCAGTCGCGAGGTACTGGCCGTATGTTGGTGGGTTTTTTCTGGGTACTACTGCTCCTCTTCCACCAAAACCTGGAAGTCCTTAAATGACCATAGCTGTTAAAAGGACATAAAACACAAACAAACCAAAATAATAGTCAGGAAACATGGATACAGTTGATTGAAATATCTAATTTTCAAAGATGATTAAGGTAAATTTGTACCAACATGACATACTTTATGACTGAATTCTGAGCAGGATATAGACTTGCTAAGGAGCCGATGACAACTACATGTCGATCTAGGCTTACTTGATCACGTATGACCATAGAGCACTGCCGGAATTTAGCAAGTGCTTTAGCTGCATATTTCATGAAATTACAAATGAAAAAGGATTATTTCACTGTTCATAAAGAAAAAAGCTGTGTTTGTTACAAATCTTTTTACTAAACAACCTTTGTAACACCATATCACTTGGACATTTCATTACGGTCACTTCTGGGTTTTGACATCTGAAATGTTCTTTTAATGTCATGCTCTGGTTAATATCATGTTTTCCACTGACAAATGAGAAGTGATATTAAACGAAATCTTCTGTATTATGTTGTGTCTATAATACAGGAATGTATATATATATATATTTAACTAGGACTAAATCAGCAAACATTCAGAGATAACCATGAAAAAAACAGGGAAAATTAATGTATATACGTATAGCTGGGACTAAATAAGGTACCATGAAATACTGTGACTAATTTAGGAAACATAAATATTCACCTCCTTTTAACATAGTTTCTCTATCTAAGTGAAGCTTCTGAATTGTCTATTGTAGTGACCCTAGCATTTACTCTCTTTTCAATCTCCATTTAAACGTCTTTTATGTTCATTGAGACACAAGACCAACACAAATTATATATATTCCGTTATTAAGCCTCGAAGGGCTGTATGGTGGGCAAAACAAAAATGCATGCTCATACCTGGAAATTTGAACCCTAACAATTTGTGTTCTAAGATCTAGACTTTGGTTTCAGTAAACGTGCATTGAGAATTAAAGGTAGAGTGCTGGAATTTGTATTGTAGAAACCAACCACCCCAGTAAATGGTTACAATCGTCTGGCACTTAATAGCTCTCATGTGGTATGTCCGTGCTCTATATTGGTAAATGTATGGTACATGTGCGGAATTTGAGCAATACTTACAGCGACGTTCGGGTAGGCTTGTGACTTATGTAATAATAGGGAGCATTTTAGTTCCCTGCAATTTACACCAAGTAGTCTGATAAAGAAACTCAGATCCTTGTTAATAATACATGTAGTACCACCTAATATATATCATTATAAATTTATTACATTATAGAGAATTGCAAAATTACATGTATATATTTGCCTCAATCCTTTTTGGTTCATAAAGTTTTATGAAACAATTCATTCAGCAAGTATTATTTTCATATGTATTGTTTTGGAATGAATCTGATAATAAATTCTATTTATCACATACCACAGAATCCTTAAATTGTTTCGTGTAACATCATCATAGGTATTACATAACAGATATGAATCTGGTGGCGTTCTTATACATGTTAAATATCGGTTGTTATTATGATGGTGTGCAATGTTATCTTACCAAATATTCCTGTCATCTTTCTCTCACTTGGCACACAATGGCTACCTGTGAGCTGATTAAATGGCTGGTTTTTTCATGTGTTGATGTACTCACACGGCACTAACAGATGAAGTGTGTGTGAGATTTTGTCATGGTTTCGTGTCGGCTATCATTATTTTTAGGACCCCTTGCTGAATGCAAAGTTACTAGTACTAGTCATCAATTAAAAGACTACTAGTCCAGAATGGATGAGGAAATCTCAACTCAATTTAAATGAAGCTTTCCTGACCCAGTGGAATGTTTTTTGTTAATTTTAATGTAATTATCTCTACTCATAATGGTACTCCAAACAACTTATTCACAAATATTTGACTTTCCAAAAGGAACAACAATAGGTTTATATTTTTACTTAAGTAAATATTTGTCAGATACTTGAATTCCTGATCGATTCTGCTCAAGAATGAACACAAAAATATCTACCTCATACTAAATGAGGGATTTTATTTATGGTAAAGGAAAGTGGTGGTCCTCCTGTAGTCAAGAGGGTTGTGAACCTAATGGGAAATATGGATGAATGTTTAAAAGACTCAAAATCTACCTTATGGAGGCAAGGCACAATAGGGATACATTTTGAAAAGACAGGTTCCGTTCTAGGTTGTGTATGTTTATCAGGTGTGTTTGACTGAGTGTTTACCTTGTGTTGTAGGCGGAGACCACATAGACACTCGAGCTGTGCGTTCCTACCTGAGCAAGCTGGAGGTCACGCTGAAGATGGGGCGCTACGAGTTTGGTCCGGCTAAACCTACTGATGTAAGGTCAACTGAACGTCCATACAGCAACATGTCATGGCGGGAAAAAGACATGATCAATCTTGAGCGACGGGCCAAGTCCCGGTCATCCAGTCGAGGAGGTAGCTCAGTTTATTCAAACTCGCGTCCAAACAGTGGTAAGAATGACATATCATACAGTCAACTCAGTCGACACAGTAGTCTCAGTTTCTTAAGTGCATCTGAGAAACTCATGCTGGAGTCGGAACGTCCTCGACTTTTACACAGGGGAACACTAGACAGGCGTCTAAGAACATCCTCACCGAAAGGTACTCACTCTTCACCCGAGGAAAATTCTATTTCTAGGAAAGTGGAAATCAATCTCAACCCAACACAGGAAGAAGCTGAGGATTCTGAGAAGGTTGGTGAGACACGTGTTGCAGATCCGCAGATTGATAGTTTTGCTGATGATATCGGTGGTATGGATCGAGCAATGCTTGCCAGGTCTGTAGGCAAACAGGTGACCACCTTCGATGTCCCCGACAGTTCAGATATGGCTCCTATACGTCTGTATAATCGTTATGGCAGTGCAGGAAGTTCAAGGTCAATGTCTCCGCGTCAACCTCAGAACAGCAAGACAAACGTTCGGAATGGCAGTGCTAAAAGTGGTAGTTCCTTCATTACAAGTGCTAGTCGAATGTCTCGAACCACGTACAGCAGCTCGCGTAGTCGCAGTGTTATGAGCCCACATGCGATCACCCCTGGTAACACGCGTTCTATAACATACGGCCCAAACAGCGATGTCAGTAGCCTGCTTGGCCCTCCAACAACTCCGAGAGATATAAAAAAAGATTACCATCATAAGTCAGCGTGGTATCATGTGCCGGGTCGTTATACCACCTACACACAGGAGTATCCCCAAAAACGATCTCAAAAGACTGCCTCAGCTCAAGCCTATCAAAACCGGCTCACTAACTCACCTAGTGGCGAAAGGAAGAAAAAGTTCACACCCTCCAAAACAACCAGACATCAACAAAATGGACGCCAGAAAAACAAAGATAATATTCAAAATGAGGCCAATAATTTTGGACCGACAGTGAAAGGTATTGGACCCGTGTGTACAGATTTTGGAGATGACGGTTACCATGACGATTTGTTTACGACAGGTGGAGCTGGTTACGAACAGTATCAGCCCCCTAGCAACAACCACGGTATCAGTGTGACATTCAAAGAGGCAGCTGTAGTAGTAGACTGAGGCAAAGGGAGATAACTCATCAATAACTTTAAATCGGAAGTTTTTTTACAGGTTTGATTAGTATGTTATCAGAGTTTGTATTTCGCAACCAAGAATTGTCAGACCTGCTACATTCCAATGGTAATGCATGATGTACACATTTTAACTATATGACAGCATGGTTACTTATATTTTTTATGGCAACTTGAAGAAATGTTTCATGTTGTCCGATAAACGTTTATCTTTCTGTTACATCATGTTTACGTGTAGATGAAAATATAGTATTTTTATCTAGTTAATTAATATATTAATATCTGTCTTGTTACATATTTAATGTTATTTCTTTAATAGGTATAGGAATGTTATGCGCAATACAAAGTAGATTTTCTACACCTTTATATTATTTCATTCATTTCAATGACATTTTTTGGGGAACTAAAATATTAAGGTGTCTGTCTTTATATATTGTTTGTGTTTATGTTTGTAAATCATACTTGAATGTAAAATTAATTTCGGGTAGAAGTTTTAATAGCATGTCATTTTAAGCTTCAATTTACCATTGATCCGTTCCTGTTCCAAGTATCAGAGAGATTACCATTAATTCATTAGGACACCATATGATCTCAAACTTTGGAATGGTATTAATTATAAAATGTCATCGTTATTTTAGAGGTTTATAAACATTAATCGATGTTCCATATTTACACATGTGACATATTTAAGGATCGACAAGCTAATTTGGTAACATTTTGTTATTAATAAATTTTAACTAATTTATGTTCAGAGCTAGCATACCAGTGACCCATGTCACATATGCCTCTTGCTTCCTATTTTTTAACACCAACTTCTATACAATTTTCCAACAGATCGTTTCTTTCTAGTTTCCTTTTAGTTAGATTATCTTTTTTTAGCTTGGAAATTATTGATAGGAACAATTTCTTGTTTTTGTGTAAACAGATTTTTTTTTTTAAATAATATAACTTTGGTGATGGTTAATATTTAAAAAGATTTTGTGCCAAATGAATTTTCTTTTGTCTTTTTACCAAAGAAATACATGTATTAACAACTGAGCTTAGAGTGCTACAATCTGCCGGTAATGTAATTTTCTGAAACAGTATTATGAAAGCGTATTTTCTGAAAAAAAAAGTATTGAAATCAATATACGGTAGCTGGTGGTTACACACTCAGTTATATTTAGAGTATACAGTGTGTCTTATGAAAATAAAATATCCAAAACTTTCTTTTTAAATTATGTTGAGCTCAATATAATGTGGATAATACATTTTTAACTCCAATTTTTTTTCTTTCAGAAAATGTGATTTCCTACAAGATATTAAAATATGTTTAAAAAACAAACTGTTTTTGAATATAGTAATGTATTTTATAATGGTTATCATTACTTTAAAAAGAAAATCAATTTTCCATTGACAAGAGAATATTTTTTGTTTCATCGTAATGAAGAAAACTAAAGATGATGCAAAATACCATTCTAAGAGTTGTATACCTTGTCAAAAAAAGGCAGTGTAAAATAAGGACATCTTTTCATATGTTTTAATGCAACACCCCAGGAGATTGTAATACTATATCAAGCTAGAGGAAATTTACATAGGCTAGAAACATTGTATGCTGGGTCAAGCTAGAAACATTGTATGCTGGGTCAAGCTAGAAACGTATGCAGAGTCAAGCTAGAAACATTGTATGCTGGGTCAAGCTAGAAACATTGTATGCTTAGTCAAGCTAGAAACATTGTAATCTATGGTAGATCAAGCTGAAAACATTGCATTTAGATAAAAGTTTGTGACATTTTTTCTAGGTTTAAGCCATTTTTTTTTTTTTACTTACATGACATATCAAATATATTTAATAAATGCAGGTAGTGATCATAATTCAAAGCCTGCTACAAAGATGCTGTTGACATTATTTTCAGTAGAATTAAGTAGAACTAGAAGCTACATTATTATATGTTTTACAAAAGTATTAAATTGCTTTAATATACTTTTCTGTAATAAATCATTGTTTTGATCCAAAATTATCCTTTTTAACTAATTACATTGTGCCACCCATTCCATTGCTCTGTGATATTCTCAACCTTCTGTGATGTATCGCCTTTCAAATTAGGAATCTATATTTTATTGTAAAGTATTTTCTTATTATATGTTAATTTAGCTAATAATTAAATAAATATATTTTTAAGAAATTCTGTCTTGTCATTTTTAGCTTTTCTGGTTTTAAAAGAAAATCAGAGTGGCCTTCTATTCAGAAATGGCCACCATCCCGGGATTGCAGCCATTTTGACAATCTTGAAAATAACTTCTTGCTTTAAACAAAGGGTTAAATCCATATCAAATCTTTATTGGTAAGACATGTTGACCATATTCAAACATAGCCATTATTTCAAAAATCTTATAACCACTACTCCTGAGGTTTCTTGTGTGACCTAACTGTTATGACAATCCATTACAATTTTTTTGGAAAAGAAAACAAAATAAACAGATCTACATGTCATTGACAGTATGAAAATACATCACCGTCTTGAGTATCAACTTCCTGCTCCCCTAACTGTCATGTATAACTGTTTGCTCAACTTGAGGACCAAGCTAAGTGAAAGTGATCCCCTTCATCCAGGCCTGATCAGTTTCTACTTCAGTAGATCCTGTAGCGGCTGTATCCACAGATGCCTGGACCACTCGGAGGCTACCTTATAATGTCCCCCCACTCAAAACGCCATGACGTCATAAAAGCATGACACTCTATCTGGTTACCTTACTACCAGAGGTGTCCAGAGAGGCCTCACCGAACAGACAGAGTGAAAAAGAAAAAAGACACAAGTTCCATACGGTCAACGAGGGCAGCAGATGAGTTTTGGTCTTGTCCGTGTCTCTGTTCAGCAGACACAAAAAGAAAGCCTTATTCTTTTCCTTAGCCCTCTGTCCATTGAGGGTGACGTAGCATTTCCGTTTTCATGCACAACAACCTCGGAACAAAACTTACCCCCGCAGCCTATAGGCTGATACTCGAAGAATCCTTCTCATCCGTCACTAAAGCTGGGATGAGGGGGGATTCTCTAGGACGTTCCCTATCAATGAGTCACCTCCAAATCCCTTGTCATGTACATGTAGCTACACTAAGTTATAATGTCCATTTTGTTCATGATTCTTTACATTACATACCTTTAACTAGAATAGGTACAGGTAAAAACAGAGATACATTTAGTATGAATATTTTGTCGAAGTGTGCCCAAGTTGATTTTTTTTTAACAAAAAATCATCATAAAAACATGAATTGAAAACATTTTCAGTTGATTTGTTATTTAATTGCATAATAAATAAAGTATACAGCAGAAAAATGTAAGATTATGTAAATTTGACTTAGTACATGTGCATAGTAAATCTGAAGTTTTGAATCATTTAAAACATAAAATTAACAAAAATTACAACAAATGTATGTAAATCAAGGTATGCTCTAATTAGGTTTTTCCTCAAACTTTAACAAGGTGGTCTTAACATTTGACCTTTCGACTCAACTACTTCAATGATTCCTTAGTATGTCCATGTGAGCAATGAAGAAGCCCGACACCATTTCAATAATTACTTAAAAAAAAAATGGGGTTAAAAACTTTTTTGGAAATTCCCTATGACTTACTGAATACATTGGTAATATTTCATTCATCAGCCTGACAGTAATTCTTGTTAAAATTTCAATTAAAAAAGTGACTTACGACCTTGAACTTTGACATTTTGACCCTCATCAGTCATCATACTCTTTCTCATGTCCTGCTATATGAGAAAACTTGATGTTTCAAAAATCTTTCACCAAGAGTTGACATTTGACCTTAAGCCATTACAATTTTCACACGAAATATTCTTTATATTTTACTTAACAGATGTTGTTAGCTTGATGATATTCTATTCATAATTTTCAAAACTGTTTCCATTTTTCCCCACTTTACTGATGTAACAGAAGTGCTGATGGTCACACAGACTAGATAATCACTGAAGGTCCAGCTCAAGTCATGGCATGGGTATAAACACATGAACATCTGTACAGTATCCCATCACTTTTCTTCTGTATAACAGATCATAGAAACTTATTTTCCTTTTAAATTTATCCATATTAGAGTTAAAATATTTTGAAATTAGACTGTAATGTTTCATAAAAGTATAAACATAACAAAATTCATGACCAGTGTGGCAGTGGTTAAACACCCTGCTTTATAGAGTGGTTAAACACCCTGCTTTATAGAGGTCTGGGGATTGAAATTTGGTAGTGAAGCAGAATTCTTATTTTGGAAACAGAAACTATAACAAACATATTTCTTCAGTATATTACTCTTTGCTATAGTAAATGATGTCAAAGAAAATTGGAACTTTTCTTCACCGGAGATAGAACACAGAACTGAGACACTCAACCTTAATGCATCATTTTTGAATCATCAATTATCATGTATAGCTTGAACAAAACATGTTTTATCATTGTATTTTCTATGTGCAAAATAATTAAGAATCAACAATTAATCATATATCAAAAATACTCTAAAATTCACCAATAGTAATTATTGTACAAATAATCTGACAATATTAACAAACAAATTCATATAATTCATACCAACTGCACCATGATAAATATTACTTATAATGTCATATTTCAATTGATGAAATAAATAGCATAAATCTTCAGGCTAAGCAGCTACATACAAGCTTTTATATTTGTAGAAAAAACATGTATTTTCACATATGTGTGTGTGTGTGTGTGAAAGTATGAAAGTGTTAAAATACATTGTTTTCGAGATATCTTTTCCGTCCAGAATCGACCATATTTTAAATACGCATGTCACATGATGGGGGGGGGCACAGATAATCTGATAGCTGTCAAAATAATGTGCTAAAACCCTGGTGTGTGGTTCCAAACTGCATGTCTTACAGGAGAGTACTTAATCAGTAGATCTGTTTTTCATGAATGATGTGAAACTTTTCCATTTCTATCCAAATTTATCATTCTTAAACTTTGATGAAGATTACTTGCTATGCATACCCCCCTAATATACCATGTGACTGTCAAATCAGGTGACAAACACCTAAAAATTGCCAAAAACATTTTAAAATGTACAATTTTGTTACTCCGAATTGAACAAAACACACCCAACAGACAATGGCACTATCATCACAGCACCACAAGCCATCACTTTACAAAGGACTTTATCAGTAATGTTGTAGCAAAAATAGACTTAGAAAATAAATTATGTTTTTTTTTTGCATATATTGTATATACACTGTTAATACTTTAAAGTGCTCTTCACTTTATAATGTAATCTATCACAGCTTTAACTCACTCACTATAGCTATGCACCAATGTAAAACTGATTAACTATGAAAGGTTGTGCTTTATATCCTATTAACAGCTATAGTCATTTAAGGACGAGCCAGGTTTTGGTGGTGGAGGAAAGCCGGAGTTCCCGGAGAAAAAACACCGACCTATGGCCAGTACCTGGTGACTGCTATACCTAGGCCTTTAACCTGTGACTCAGTGGTGGAGGGCTAGTGATCCTAGACCATGCGCGCAGTCTGATGCCTTAACCAGTCGGCCACCGCAGCCCCCAACCCCAAAATGGAGAAGGAGAGAACCAGCATCCTGGTGGGCCGTGAGTCAGTGGATTAAAGCAGGAAATTACCATGGATACCCAGCAGTATTCACTAGCACTCCATTGTCCCCATTGTTTGATTAACTGTTGGATTTGACTGGAAGGTTTGACAAAACTTTCATAGAGCAGAAATTTCTCAGCACACTAAACTAGACAGTTGAAACTGTTTCCCAGGGTCGAACCTATAATCTGGTAAACATGCAGTTAGTTAAAATATAGGAACACCAGTGGCAAAAAGACAATTCTTCCTCACTTCGATGTCTTCCATAAAACATCTACAATCATCTCACAGCTGTGTTTTCTTCTGTTAGAATTTAAATATTGCACTCTTTGACAAAATAATACCAGTATTTTGATTTTTGTTTTGATTCAATAAAATGAGACATCAGTAAAAAAAAATCAAAATATGTAACTTTCCAAGTATACAGTAATGTACAATGGGTCACCAGTTTGTGATCATAAATCAATCAACATTTCTTAACATACAACAATTTCTACAACCTAAGTAACGAGCACACACACCTGCATCAACTTTCACATCCACAACCTTTTAAACAGATTTCAGAGATCAACTTTTACATCCTCAACCTTTTAAACAGATTTCAGAGATCAATATTTATAGAGTTGTGGTATTTTTCAGATCGAAAGAGAATATCCGGTTTATATAGTAACCCTTAATCTAAACATACTGTAACGATATTTATAAAAACATGTTTAAAAAAAATATAACATGTTTATATAACTTTCCGTCGCATATTTAAAATACATCAAGGTTAATTTTGCGTATTTTAACATTTCATGCTTTCAATGATTTACGTAGATCTCCCAAAAACACATTTGGGCCAAAATTCAACCGTAGTTGTTTGCACACTTTAATGCACCATTTGACTGTCAGAGAATGTAGAAAATGAAGGAACCCCCACACAGCCTCATGTGAATCCATCCTTTGTATGAATACAACAGAACTTCATATTTATCCATTTCATCTTAATTTGTATGCCATCAGATTTCCCATTGAAATGGTGCTTTTATTAAAGGTTTATATCTGAGCAACAGCTATAGTTTAGAAATTCATTTTTCATTGATAACGAAAATGTTTTGCATATCATTTTCAATAATACACGTATTAAATAAATGTACATGGAATAATATTCACTCTTTGTTTCAGCATTTTATCTCTAGATTTTCATGCATCCAATTAATGATCAGATGCTTATTTTATTTTTTTATTTCTGCTGTATAAGCGATCGAATCACATGAATAATATAAACAAGAGGCCCAGAGGGCCTGTATCTCTCGACTGTTTCGTTTGTTACATGAAACTGACATATAGGTAACTTCAGACCAAATTTGGTAACTAGAACACAAGACATTTTAACATCTCTTTAACGGTTCTTAAGATATTGTTGTTCGAAATTGAACTTTTCAATTTCAAAGCTTTAAACCCACATTGACCTTTGATAGCACTCCATACAAAGTACCAGCTAAATATCATGACCCTGGGCCTTATGGAACCTGAGAAGAAGATTGTTAAAGCTTTTAACCCATGTTGACCTTTGACCCCAGACTAGCACTTAAAGCTGACCTTTGACCTCATTACTGTAATAAAAAAAAAACGATTCACACAGCTGGTCTACATCACATACCCAAGTATCATGACTCTAGTCCAAATGGTTCTTAGGATGTTGTTGTTTAAATTTTTTAACATATTTGAGCACTGACTAGCACTTTGACCTCATATCTGTAATTAAGAAAAAGCATTCGCACTGCTGTCTCCACAACATACCCAAGTATCATGACTCTATTCCAAATGGTTCTTAGGATATGGTTTTTGACACTTTTAACTCATTTGATCCCTGTGACCTTAAAAGTAGGTCAAGGTCATTTTAATAAGGAAAGTTTATAGCACTCAATCCCAGGTACCTACTGGCCAAATATCATGACCCTAGGTCCTCCAGTTCCTTCGGGAGAAGTCGTTCAAAAGAAAAAGTTGACGGACGCAGCAGTAATACATGGTCTTTCGGGCCAGGTGAGCTAAAAAAATTCAAACATCCTCTCACTTGTTCTCATCTCACCTGATCATGCATCAATATAATTCAGAATTCAGGATTCACAGCCATATGTGTACTTCCAAAAATCGTCACTTTGCATGAATCAGAAGGGGATGCTTCATGAACACATTCACAGGAAACATTTTTACTACTTCATTATCAGAACATTGTTCAGTTGTAATTTAAGTATTCCTTAAACATTCTGAATTCACTAAAGATTGAATTTGACCTGCAAAAATCATATACAACCATACACATAGTAAAAAAATAGTTGACCAATCAGAATTCAGGATATGTCCATGATATCATTTAATATTCAGTTCTGTACTCATCCGTGAACTTGACCTGAATATTGCTATTATAGAACCAAGCACCAACTTTGGCAAAAAATATAAATATTTCAAAAACATATTATGAAGAACTGTCAACCAATCAGAATTGAGGATATAATGTCATTTCTCACTCACAGATATCACTCATCTTTGAACTTGACCTAAATATCATCATAATACAACCATACAACCACTTTGGTAAAAACCTAAGTATATTTCTGAGAGACAATGTCCCCAAACTGTCAACCAATCTGAATTGAGGATATGCCAGTTAACTCGATCAAAATCTCATTCATAGACTTCACTCGTAAAATTCAGTGGAAACCATATCACCTAACTGATACATGTATACATAACAGGGCTTTCTACAGTTCTGCTTTAGGCTCGTTAGTCCTGCCGTGTTTCTGTTTCTTAGCTTCGATGAATGCAGGATGTGAACGAACGTGGTCGGCTGCTTTGAGGACGAGGCGGAGAAATTCTTCCACATTAAATCCATAATTGGTGAACTTAGCGTGAGCTCCCAGGGTGGGGTGATGTCCCTACAGGTAAAAACACATAGACTTTACCACTCTACAGGACGGATCAGTATCAGGTTGTTACAGGCTTATATTGATACTTTTAATCAAAATTTTCAAAATGGATTTTTTGTGGGAAATATGTGTGTAAAACAAGAATATTTTTATGTATAATATTGAAAGGGAATCTTTCTTAACATTTTCGTCAGGTTGGTAAGTACACAAAGGTGTAAAATATGTTTGAGTCGGCAATACATATTTAAAGTCGATTCAGATACACTATAAGCATATCTGAAGGAAAGCATTTTGAATGCTCGAACATGTTATTTTTTATTTTTTATTTAATTATTATAAAAATATTACAAATTCAATTTTAACCTCTATGTGTCATAACAAGGTAATTATAAGCCATTAACTTTCATTTCATTAAGTATTATACAGTAAAATATTGTCAAGGTGCATGTGTGATTACCTTGAATCAAGAGAGATAATACCAAGTCAGGAAAACAGAGAATTTATAACTTGGAAACATTATACTTAACAGGATGAGAATAGAATAAGGGAAATATCTACATCGGTTTTATTTTTTATTATTTTGTTTATATTTGCACTTGGCTTTACATGATGGAGATATGTAATCAGTTATAAAATCTGCATTTCCCTCCAACAAATAATTCCTGTCAGTTGAAGAAATATATAACTGCTCCACTGTGTTATCTCCCTTGATACCAGTTTTCCACACAAGACCCAACAAAGTTAATTGATTAAGAGTGCGATTCATTTTTTCATGTTCATTGGATAACTGTATATCCATACAACACATTTAAACGTTCATGATTCAAAGTGACCATGTTTTGTCTGTAAATGTCCTGTCCGACTAGTTGTTTCTTCGAGTTATGTTATTAGGATCCAACAACAGTGATATATATATTTTCAAATCAAGCATGACTGACTTTGTTCATGACATAATTTACAAAACAGCCACGAGATTGATAACTGATCAATTATATGATGAAGGATAACAAGCCTGGTATTAATCTCACACTTGTAATCTTAAAAGTGGACTAAAATACAGCTACAGGAAGAATATCAGTGTTCGATTCATAAGAACCTATTAAAAAATTTAAACATATGACGCCTGTGATCTTGAATGTTTAACAAAGACATTAGATTGAAAGTGGGTCAAGGTCATTCATTTGAACAAACTTGGTAGTCCTTTATCCCAGCATGCTACAGTCCCAATTTCAGTACCCTGTGCCTTTTAGTTATTGAGAAGTGGTTTGGAGATTTTACGACGTTTTAACCTTGTGACCTTGAAAGTGGGTCAAGGTCATTCATTTGAATAAACTTGGTAGCCCTTCATCCGTGCATGCTACAGGCCCAATTTCAGTACCTAGGGCCATTGGGTTATTGAGAAGAAGTTGTTTAAAGATTTTAAGACATTTGACCCCTGTCACCTTGAAAGTTGGTCAATGTCATTCATTTGAACAAACTTGGTAGTCCTTCATCCCAGCATGCTACATACAGGCCCAATTTCAGTACCCAGGGCCTTTTGGTTATTGATAAGAAGTCGTTTGAAGATTTTACGACATTTGACCCCTGTGACCTTGAAAGTAGGTCAAGGTCATTCATTTGAACAAAATTGGTAGCCCTTCATCCCAGCATGCTACAGGCCCAATTTCAGTACCCTGGGCTTTTTGGTTATTGAGAAGTTGCTTGAAGATTTTAAGACATTTGAACCCTGTGACCTTGAAAGAGGGTCAAGGTCATTCATTTGAATACACTTGGTAGCACTTCATCCCAGCATGCTACAGGCCTAATATCAGTACCCTGGGCCTTTCGGTTATTGAGAAGAAGTTGTTTAGAGATTTTAAGACATTCGACCCCTGTGACCTTGAAAGTTGGTCAAGGTCATTCATTTGAACAAACTTGGTAGCCCTTCATCCCAGCATAACACAGGCCCAATAACATTACCCTGGACCTTTTGGTTATTGAGAAGAAGTTGTTTAAAGTAAAATATTGACGCCGGACGCACGGACGAACGACGGACGCCGCACCTCGGTAAAAGCGCTAAAAAAAGTATTTTAACCAATACACTCAGTGAGAACTCAGTTTATGTGGTAAGTTTATGTTTTACATTTACCTCATCCTCTTGATGAAGTTTGTTTTTCTTTTCCCAAGTCATGTAGTGTACTCCCCGAAGTCGGGCAAGGTCAAGGTAGCAACCATTGTCCTCACAATTATACCTGTAACAAGGTGAGTAAACATTATACCTGTAACAAGGTGAGTAAACATTATACCTGTAACAAGGTGAGTCAAAATTATACCTGTAACAAGGTGAGTAAACATTATACCTGTAACAAGGTGAGTAAACATTATACCTGTAACAAGGTGAGTCAAAATTATACCTGTAACAAGGTGAGTAAACATTATACCTGTAACAAGGTGAGTAAACATTATACCTGTAACTAGGTGAGTAAACATTATACCTGTAACAAGGTGAGTAAACATTATACCTGTAACTAGGTGAGTAAACATTATACCTGTAACAAGGTGAGTAAACATTATACCTGTAACAAGGTGAGTAAACATTATACCTGTAACAAGGTGAGTAAACATTATACCTGTAACAAGGTGAGTAAACATTATACCTGTAACAAGGTGAGTAAACATTATACCTGTAACAAGGTGAGTAAACATTATACCTGTAACAAGGTGAGTAAACATTATACCTGTAACAAGGTGAGTAAACATTATACCTGTAACAAGGTGAGTAAACATTATACCTGTAACAAGGTGAGTAAACATTATACCTGTAACAAGGTGAGTAAACATTATACCTGTAACAAGGTGAGTAAACATTATACCTGTAACAAGATGAGATGAGATAGTTTTCTACCTGTATCAAGATGATTACACTTGTCTCGGATTGAAGAACAATTTTACAAAGAATTCAAAGTTAAAGAAGGAAAAACTAGTACAAGAACATAGAAAACTTAAAGATGATTAACCAACCAAGCACCTGTGACAGTTGCTGAGGTAGTGTACTTACAACTCCATGACAACACCCCAGTCTGGCTGAAATAACATATGGGTCAGCCCCGCACCATGTATACCAATAAATATATCACTGTTGTGGGAGACCTGATAAAAACAAAAAAAGGTCAGCCCTGCATCATGTATACCAATAAATATATCACTGATGTGGGAGACCTGATAAAAACAAAAAAAGGTCAGCCCTGCATCATGTATACCAATAAATATATCACTGTTGTAGGGGACCTGATAAAAACAAAAAAAAGGTCAGCCACGCACCATGTATACCAATAAATATATCACTGATGTGGGAGACCTGATAAAAACAAAAAAGGTAAGCCCCCCACCATGTATACCAATAAATATATCACTGAAAAGTGTTGTGGGAGACCTGATAAAAACAAAAAAAAGGTCAGCCCCGCACCATGTATACCAATAAATATATCACTGCAAAGTGTTGTGGGAGACCTGATAATAACACAAAAAATGTTAATCTAATCCAAATGTAATAGTAAAAATATCTCCAACATCTCATGGTGAAGATCAGCACAGACAATTAATATCATAAAAGTCATGATTAGCTAATTTAATTACATTAAGAAAAATATAAACCCTTTGGACAACATGTTATATAACAAATTTTATTAAAAACATGCTCCATTGTTGTATTGGCTATCACTAAAGCATAGTAATTATTTATATAATTAGGTACTTACCTCCATCTGATCTTTGAAGTTCATACTCCTGAAAAACACACAAGAACAATACTGCTGAATATGTATAAAAAAAACCCACAAAAAACCACACAAAACAGCTCTTTATTGAAATATTTGATAATGAGAACAAAACTTATTTTAGGTAAAATTGAATGTCCTGTACTTCCCCTTTTCTTTTTATAAAGATATTTTAGCATTGTTTTCCACTTCATTTTACAAGTCTGTTGTGTCACCAAAGAGGTATATTAGATTAAGTCAACACTTACCAACTAAAATTACAAGAATAAGCCTAAAGTAAATGGGTTGGCCTTAAAATTCAACCTGGGATTCCTTGCAGACAAACACTTCATTTTCAAGATAAATAAGTGTTACAGAATAACATTTTAATTAAAAATAAGCCATACACAGCTTATCTCCTAAATGGCTCGGACAAGCCTTAGATTTTATTACTGTAACAGTTTAGCTGCTGCTTATTTAGGGTACGATTTAAAGGCAGAAACAAATCCCAGGATGACAGAACATATGAGCCCTTACCAAGTCAAATCCACTGCGTTCACGTCCAATTCCCCAACAGTTTTCATGGCAGCAATAAGCTGAAAATAAAAAGATAGTTTTTTGGGCTGTGTAGCAAAGAATACTTAGATCAATTGCAAAATGTTGATATTTGGGCCAGTAAGGGGTGTATTCATAACACAAACACATAGGACAACGACTAAAAACAATAGAGGCTTTAATACTGCCTTGCTATTTCAATTAATTATTGTGATATTTCATTCACCTACCTCTTTGATACAGATATAAAGATTTCTAATAGATTTCTAAATGACAGTCATTTAAGTGCAAACAAGACTTTTAGGTTTTGCTGATAAAAAAAATCTTTTCTATGTACTGTATCAATTAAGTACATGAACCATTATCAAGTAAGTGCCAAAAAGATCTATAAAGATAGTTAAGGAAGTGCTAAAGAGATCTCTACATACTCAAGTAAGTGACACCAACAATGGATTGTTAAGAAATGCTTCAGACACTTGAGAATTTGTTACAATTTACCTTGTCCTGGTTGAGAATTTTCCTGTACTTTGTACTCCTTGTGAGAAGTGTCACTCTAATTTTATCCTTCTGCAGAAAGAAAATAAGTATCCTGTTAAATATCTTTCTCAATGAATTCTTTTATTACATCATACCTCATTCTTTTGTTTTCCTCTTTGTTAAAACAGTCATTATTTTGAATAGTGAGAGGGACCACCGTGCTATCCAGTACATTTTGTATTTTATTTTATTGCTTCCTGATTTGAGAGAGAGAGTTACCTCCCCTGTAACACTCGGTACACTCACAAACATGGCAGTGTACTTTAGCCTGTGTTCTATATTTATTATTTGTAAGCTGACCCTGTTCTACAAGTAAATACATACCAATGGTCCCTGCTGGTGCAAGCCGATTCTGTGAGCAAGTTGCTGATGAAAGGCCCGGAAAAAACTGCTACTATGACAACCAGGCACCTGTCACAAAACAAAGATACAAATATTAAATATTTCCTTCACCTCCAGAGCAAGACCTCTTATGATTTCTTCACATACAGTGACAACACCAGTGTGTGAGTTACGCATGTTAAAATTGTCTAACGTTTGAAATCAGTGGTAGCATCCTGCTCAACTCAGTAAATCAAGATTTTGATACTGAGTAGCCCTGTGTGAAGTTTGCAAATGATTGACGCAGGGGATGGAGAAAAAACCTTTCAGAACGGACAACATAATGGAAAACATAACAATAACAGCATTCTTCTTGATCATCAGTGAAAGTGATCGATCATTATATAAGCTTTTCCATTTGTTGTAATACTTTTGCATATGAAGACAAACTCCAGTGAATTTTAGCTGATCAATGCAATTTAATGTCACTGAATTTTTTTTAGAATTTAAGTTCAATTATAATTCACCTATGATATAATGATTATACCTCATACTTACTAATGGCATATTGTAATACATTCCATATCTCATACGAGCAAGCAAGGAAAACACTGCATCTTTAAAACACACCTACAATTGTAAATATAAAACAATTCTCAAGACCATAGACATTTTACAAAATGAAAAGTTGGTGAACACCATTCAACCTTTCCGAGAATAAAAAAAGTTCAATTCTCATATTACTTTCAACCTTGAATCTTATTATTACTATTACTACATATTACAGTGCATGGCTTGTTGTTTCATCACTTATACCAAAACTCCTGTATACTTTTAAATACTCTCTATATATGTATCCTACCATCTAGACACGCCTCATTTGTTTAATGATCTATCAATTGGAGACTACACACTATTTTGTCATATACCAGATATTTGACATTTTATCAAATAATGTAATGTAATGTAATGTAATGTAACGTAACGTAATGTAATGTAACGTAATGTAATGTAATGTTATGTAACGTAACGTAACGTAATGTAACGTAACGTAATGTAACGTAATGTAATGTAATGTAATGTAACGTAACGTAACGTAATGTTACATAATGTAATGAAATGTAACGTAATGTAATGTAATGTAATGTAATGTAATGAAATGTAACGTAATGTAATGTAACGTTATGTAATGTAACGTAATGTAATGTAATGTAACGTAATGAAATGTAACGAAATGTAATGTAACGTAATGTAATGTAATGTAATGTAACGTAATGTAACGTAACGTAATGAAATGTAACGTAATGTAATGTAACGTAATGTAACGTAATGTAATGTAATGTTACGTAACGTAATGTAATGTAATGTAACGTAACGTAACGTAATGAAATGTAACGTAATGTAATGTAACGTAACGTAATGAAATGTAACGTAATGTAATGTAATGTAACGTAACGTAATGTAACGTAACGTAATGTAACGTAACGTAACGTAATGTAACGTAACGTAATGAAATGTAACGTAATGTAATGTAACGTAACGTAACGTAATGAAATGTAACGTAATGTAATGTAATGTAATGTAACGTAACATAATATAATGTAATGTAATGTAACGTAACGTAATGTAACATAACGTAATGTAACGTAACGTAATGTAATGTTATGTAACGTAACGTAATGTAACGTAACGTAATGTAACGTAACGTAACGTAATGAAATGTAACCTAATGTAATGTAATGTAATGTAATGTATTGTAAAAGATGACCTGACGGCTAGTCCCCTATACCTAGTTAAGTGATATTATCAATTTTACACCAAGCTGAAGGATATAATTACTTTTATCAAATGAATACCGTGTTATGCAGTGTCATAAAGCCATCACATAAATTATGTTTATATAATGTGTGTAATATCACCCGAAAACGACGTCACAATAGAATAGGAACAATCGATGTGATGTCACGTCATTGTGAAGGTGACGCAATTTTCATTGTTTCAGAGGCGACCAAGTACAAAATATTCGTTTCAGATCACAATTTTACAGTTTACTTTGTAATACACGATGAAAAGAATCTGTCAGTCGTTACCCTTCATATAAGATTGATGAAACCTCGCCAGAGGCTCAAACATGAAAAATCCAAAACTTTTATCATAAATCTAATATGAAGGGAAATTTATGACAGATCCTCGATATATATACCAGGTTGAGGAATATAATTACCTTTTTGCCATCATATTCATTAAGCGATATCACTGGGTGGTCTGAGAACATTTTCCACGTTACAGAAAACAAATCATTGTAGAGCATCGGACTCTGAAAAACAGACGTACAGTCTCGTTAATATATATATATCCATGTTTCAGATTCACCAACAAATATATAGAGGATATTCAATGATCTCCCAATATATATACCAAATTCATGTCACGAGTATGGCAGAATATTAGTATTCTTCTTGAGCGCAAAACATGAGTGAAGATGTTGGTATATTTTGCCATACTCAATTGGAAAACCATTAAATTTTCTGTTTAAGACACTTTTTCAAAGTAGCATGACACAAAAGTTGCTGCTTCAGAAAAGTGTGTAAATGAGTAAGATAATAGTTGACACCTGGTTCTAATGACATCATGCTTGACAATAAGGCAGAGCACCATTTTGGATGGGTTACTCGATCTTGCCAATGTATATATTTATGTAAATACAATGTTACAAAGGTGTACCAAGACAACCATCTATCTGCCATTGTTTCATTTGAACTTGAAACTGAAATCTACCTAGTGAATAGAAAGTAACGTTCTGATTGGACAACACTAAAGTGATATGTTCACATGTGAAGACATATATAACACTTGGTATATCTCCACTGCAGTGAAGAAGAAATAGTTTTTATAAAATGGGTAATTCCTGATATTACACATTAACAAACTTATCCATGTCAATAACAGTAAGTAGCACATGAGATCATAAAACAGATGTAAACACGTATTTCTAATTAAGAAATCATTTACCGTGTCCCACATGACAATGTTGATGTCGGTGCTGAAGGAATTGTTTAAATGTTGTGAGGCGTACAGATTAACAAAGTCACAGAAGTGATGATACAAATTCACACCTGCAAACAGAATCGACCACATCAAAAGCAAAATTGATCAACAACATCTAAAGCAAAACAAAATAAACAGACCACATCTAAAATGACAGTAAATAATTAGTCAAGCCATAATAAAGAAAATCCTTTCTTGTAACAGTAAATCCTCTTGCAACAAAATACTCTTCTTAATGATCACTGTCCCACTGCACTATGTTTTTTTCGTATATACAGTTACCTCCCCTTAATGATCCCTGTCCCACTGCACTATGGTTTTTTCGTATATATATATAGTTATTACCCCTTAATGATCCCTGTCCCACTGCACTGTTTTTTTTCGTATATACAGTTACCTCCCCTTAATGATCCCTGTCCCACTGCACTATGGTTTTTTCGTATATACAGTTACTTCCCCTTAATGATCACTGTCCCACTGCACTATGGTTTTTTCGTATATATATATAGTTATTACCCCTTAATGATCCCTGTCCCACTGTACTATGGCTTTTTCGTATATATATATAGTTATTACCCCTTAATGATCCCTTTCCCACTGCGCTATGGTTTTTTCGTATATACAGTTACTTCCCCTTAATGATCACTGTCCCACTGCACTATGGTTTTTTCGTATATACAGTTACCTCCCCTTAATTTCATTTTGGATATAACTGTAGTACAATTGGGCCAGGGCTTTTCCATTGACCAGGTAGCTAAGTCGGTTACAATAAACTCTCCTTAATTTCAGATTGTATATAACTGTAGCTCAAATGGGCAAGGATATTTCCACTGACCAGGAAGCTCAGCAGGTAGGATGACAACATACTCATCAGAGGTCCAGGGTTCAATACCTGATCTGGTCTTAACCCATATTTACTCACAGAATGCTGTTTTAGAAATTTTTTTCTTCCCGCCAGATATCATTTCTTTTTATAAATGATTTATCAAAGCCATAGTAATACCAGAAATATTTTTGATACTGAGTATTTAACCATTTCTGGCAGTGGTACAGGGATCCTTAATAAGCCTGTTTTTTCCCCAGATTCTATACAAAATTTCACTACTTCTGATTTGATAGATAACTTACCAGCATCTAGTTTTATGAAGTAGGTAGGCTTGTCTATGACTATATCACATTTTTTGTCCTTAATCGGACGATATGGTAAAGATGTGTAAAACTCCAGTTCAGCAAACCTGAAAAGTAAGAAACATTTTCAGTCACACAACCAAAGGAAATTGTTTCTCTACCGCTTATTTATTAAGCACGGTTAATAGAAGAAACAATACATTGATCCCTTTGAAATGGCAGTGGCCACTGTTAAGTGTTATATTTATTATTTCATTCCCAGCAATATTTTTTTTTAATTATGGAAAAAATCAAGAATAGAGGACAATCTTTTATCTATACGCTGAACTCAGACCAGTAAAAATATTTAAACCTATCAGGACTGGAGGGCACTTTTGTGTTCCTGCAGACCTCTGGACATGTTTGACTAGTGATGATATTTACACCTACCAAGACTGGAGGGCACTTTTGTGTTCTATTTACACCTACCAGGACTGGAGGGCACTTTTGTGTTCCTGCAGACCTCTGGACATGTTTGACTAGTGATGATATTTACACCTACCAAGACTGGAGGGCACTTTTGTGTTCTATTTACACCTACCAGGACTGGAGGGCACTTTTGTGTTCCTGCAGACCTCTGGACATGTTTGACTAGTGATGATATTTACACCTACCAAGACTGGAGGGCACTTTTGTGTTCTATTTACACCTACCAGGACTGGAGGGCACTTTTGTGTTCCTGCAGACCTCTGGACATGTTTGACTAGTGATGATATTTACACCTACCAAGACTGGAGGGCACTTTTGTGTTCTATTTACACCTACCAGGACTGGAGGGCACTTTTGTGTTCCTGCAGACCTCTGGACATGTTTGACTAGTGATGATATTTACACCTACCAAGACTGGAGGGCACTTTTGTGTTCTATTTACACCTACCAGGACTGGAGGGCACTTTTGTGTTCCTGCAGACCTCTGGACATGTTTGACTAGTGATGATATTTACACCTACCAAGACTGGAGGGCACTTTTGTGTTCTATTTACACCTACCAGGACTGGAGGGCACTTTTGTGTTCCTGCAGACCTCTGGACATGTTTGACTAGTGATGATATTTACACCTACCAAGACTGGAGGGCACTTTTGTGTTCTATTTACACCTACCAGGACTGGAGGGCACTTTTGTGTTCCTGCAGACCTCTGGACATGTTTGACTAGTGATGATATTTACACCTACCAAGACTGGAGGGCACTTTTGTGTTCTATTTACACCTACCAGGACTGGAGGGCACTTTTGTGTTCCTGCAGACCTCTGGACATGTTTGACTAGTGATGATATTTACACCTACCAAGACTGGAGGGCACTTTTGTGTTCTATTTACACCTACCAGGACTGGAGGGCACTTTTGTGTTCCTGCAGACCTCTGGACATGTTTGACTAGTGATGATATTTACACCTACCAAGACTGGAGGGCACTTTTGTGTTCTATTTACACCTACCAGGACTGGAGGGCACTTTTGTGTTCCTGCAGACCTCTGGACATGTTTGACTAGTGATGATATTTACACCTACCAAGACTGGAGGGCACTTTTGTGTTCTATTTACACCTACCAGGACTGGAGGGCACTTTTGTGTTCCTGCAGACCTCTGGACATGTTTGACTAGTGATGATATTTACACCTACCAAGACTGGAGGGCACTTTTGTGTTCTATTTACACCTACCAGGACTGGAGGGCACTTTTGTGTTCCTGCAGACCTCTGGACATGTTTGACTAGTGATGATATTTACACCTACCAAGACTGGAGGGCACTTTTGTGTTCTATTTACACCTACCAGGACTGGAGGGCACTTTTGTGTTCCTGCAGACCTCTGGACATGTTTGACTAGTGATGATATTTACACCTACCAAGACTGGAGGGCACTTTTGTGTTCTATTTACACCTACCAGGACTGGAGGGCACTTTTGTGTTCCTGCAGACCTCTGGACATGTTTGACTAGTGATGATATTTACACCTACCAAGACTGGAGGGCACTTTTGTGTTCTATTTACACCTACCAGGACTGGAGGGCACTTTTGTGTTCCTGCAGACCTCTGGACATGTTTGACTAGTGATGATATTTACACCTACCAGGACTGGAGGGCACTTTTGTGTTCCCCTTCAGCCTTCAGGGCTTGCTTATCTAGTTTACAATGCCCACCAATTTGACCACCACTAAATACATCCTCTCGGAACCTGTGTGAATAAAGAAAACACTTCAATAAAAAGAATTGTAACAAAAATAAACTGGCAACAAAAATGGTGTAACAATGTACCACAAAAGAGTTGAACAGTGGTTTGAATATGTAAACCATTAAAAAAACACACTTGCAAATCCACTTATTTTGTAGGGAGGAAAAAAACCAAAGTTTAAGTATTGTAGATTGTTTCAGAAAATGTTTTGTATGTTATGATAGATGTCGTTTTAATATGGTATAGATTGGAACTTGATAAGAATTTTCTAAATATCAGAAATAGGGAAGACGTGCTAATCAATCAAGATATTAGATCATATGATCTTGTTATGAAGTTCAAACTCAAAGTTATTCAAAAGAATTGATCAAGGTCACAACTGAATGAAATTTGAAAACATTTTGAAAACCTACTTTTGATGTCACTTAATTCCAACTTTGATGGAAGTGGAGCTAAATGTCAAGGCTTAAAGAAATAGAACTAACTACAAAGTTTTATAAAAATCAACAAATTGTAAAATATAGGTCACAGTGACCTACCCTTTATTGGTGTAATACTCAGATAAGAATTTTGATGACAGTTGGCCATCTTGTATTAGAGTAATTGAGCTAAATGTTAAGTCTTACCAAAATGTTTAATGGGTGGAGAGACAAGCAACCACTTTTATATTCCCCGTCACTATGCTGCAGGTGTATACAAATAGACTTTATGGGTTAGTTTGGAAAATGGATAACCAGTCTTAATTAAAGGTAACATGTTGTAACTTGGATTCTTAGTCACAACATAGATGTATGGAATCATTTGTAGGTTGGATACATCTAGTGAAGTAAAATAAAATTGTTTTTGTGGTTACCTGTTGTTTCCCTCCTTTAGTTTAGACTTTGTGAAGTCAAAGTAGATGTTTTTGGCCCGGCAGTAGCGTGTGTATTTGACACACTCTAGTAACGAATCCTCCTTTATGAATAAAACAGACAAGCATTAAAATACATCCAGTGAAACCTTCTTCTATCCATTGCAGACCTAATGTATACATCAATGATATATTTTACCTGCCATTGTGATGCTTAAACATATCAAACGCATAAATAGTGGGAAAGATTTCACAGCATGAAGTTTTAGCAATCTTGTGGATGGAGAAAAATATAAGTTGAATCAGATGCAAAGCCAGCTGCAGAAACCGTAGCTCCTATAGGTCTGATATTTTTTATTTTTTTTTAATTATCGGACGATAATNTTTTTTTTTTTTTTTTTTTTTAATTATCGGACGATAATGGAAGAAAAAAAAAAAAGAAAAAAATTGGACCTGGTAGCTATGGTTCCCCCAGCTCATGCAAGGCATAGTTATTTCTGGATTTCTCAATATCCCATAAGTCCCTACACAAGCAGTTTACCTTTTTGTCCTGCAACAATCCAAGAGAACCCACCCTAAATCTCTTACTAAAATTAGGAGGATGGGCTTATTGCATGACCTTTAAACAACATTTGTTGGTATTTCTATTGAACTGTTATAGATTGGAGGGGGGGGGTGGGGAGGGGGTGTATTATCATGTACAAGACTTTAGATAAATTCAGTTTTTCCACACCTAAGAGTCACCACATAGGTAATTTGTATGTAATCACCCACCTGTGTATCAGGTGCACACAGAACCTTCATCTCTCCACGTCTCTCCTTGATGTATCCAAAATCAGCACCCTTCCAGAACATGTCCAGCTGTTCCTCCTTCCTCTGTGTCCTAAATCATGGTCAAAATAACAACTTAAAGCAGAACTGTAAGTCAAAGACTCAATTAAATACTCTGGCATACTGACAATAACTTCTTTTCTGTACTCTGATCATGAGAAGCCATAAGTTTGCTAAAGACTATTGTACTGAAAGGCTCACTGGTGTTCACTATAAGATCTACATTTGTTGCCTACTATGATGCTAAGGCTGTTTTCATTTTAACGGTTGAACTGGTTGAACTGTTTATTAAATAAGGTCGGACCTAGCAATCTGATGCTGTTTTCAGGTGAGCCTTGACAAAGCCTTGCAAGGCCTGCATAAACATTTACAGGTCTGCCAGGATTTATACCCGAAATTGTTACATTTAAAAACGGACAAACTGATTGTTTCGCAAAAACGAACAAGCCCCTAGTATGTTTCAAGGGCAATAACTCTGAGAAACAGCCTGACAGAGAAAAGTGGACAACTGCAGTTTGTGCTTAAAGAGCACTTGAAAGTTTATATTGCATGTTTTCAAGAACTTTCTATCAGTTTTACCACAACAAAATTCTATTCTGAGACATACACTGGTGAATTGGAAGTTCATTTATCATTTGCTATATTTTCCTATTCACAGTAAGAAATGGATAAAATGTTTCTTTTGAAAATTGAACATGGATTAATCACAAATTATTACACATGTATAACACTCTTACAACAATATTGCAGCTTTCTAATTATAGGGAATCAAAATGTTCCTTTTACTAACCCACCACCCTAATTATTGACTCAGAGGCCTGGGGGTACATCACACACATGTGTTAGATTTTATTTAGTCTTAATTAGGAGCAGGATGGGAACTGTAAACTAGGAAAAGTGTTTTTTTGAAATTTATATAGAAATCCTGGCAAACAACTACTTACCACCCCCTACTGTCTCCCGGACAGCTTGGTGAGGACATTCTCTTCTCCTCCGGACACCCCCCCTCATAGCCCCAGCATTTCTCCTTTGTCAGCTCTGTCTGCAAGATGTAACAAAAATAATGAAAACAAAAAAATCACATTTCTCTGTTAACAGCATTCAAATACTATTAAAGAATCAACAGATTATTGTGAATTGTGTTGAATTGATTTTTTTAACATTACGTGATGTTTTTGACAACTCAACGGTTCTGACTTTGAATTATAATAATTTTTAATTACTGCAAAAAAGAAATTCCAACTACTGGTTAACACTTCATGCAAGAAAAACACGTATAAACAGTAAGTTGGAATCAGAAAAATAAACCCAAGATATTGAGTTGAAGCAAATTTTCTATTTATCATATCAGTGACCTTGATCTTTGACCTTTCCATCTACCGGTAAAAAATAATCCTGGTTGATTGTTGTTGGCTTGTTCAAAGCTTACCTAGTCAAAACAATGACTGATGATTATCATTACAATATTTCATCTGATACTTCATGTACTTATACAAAATTAAATATCATTGGTAAGACAAGTTGTGTTTAATTAATACAAGACATATCAAATTGTATTTACCTGGTAAGAAGTAAAATTGGTCTTTTATAATCTACCCTGATTTCACCTAAGAAAAAGGGTGAGGTCAGGTAGGGGTTTATGGCAGACAGAGAGGATAGCCAATGGTGTTTATAAGTAAAGCAAGAGATACAAAAAGACTATCTTATGAAGTAAATCAGATGTTTCATTGTCTACTCCAATCTCTACAAATGCAAGCCACATGAATCCCCTGTGGAATGATAATGTATTACGGTATACATGTCTCGCATATAACAGCACTCATTGACCTTTATTTAGAATATTAATTGTTCTTTAATGCTGTATAGAAAGTGTATAAGTCATTTCAAATGTACCTGGTAGGTTAATATTCTGAAAAGTGATATAATCCACGTGACATCCTTTGATTCTCATTTTGATCAGCAAAAGGATAACTTTATTGACTGTCTTGTGAGATATCTAACATATATCTTTTAAATATATAAGATATCCGATTACCAATACATCTCCAGCACACACACATGCATACACACATAGGGAGATATTAGCCAGGTGGCATAGGACTAGTAGTTAGCACCCAATAAGGCAGCTCCTATGTAATTCCTCATAATTGTATTGACTAATGTATAGCTGCATATGCTTATTATATTGATTGTATAAAATTATATATCGATGTACTGAAAAGTGTGTTAGAGTGGCTTATGTAAGCTAGATAGGGAGCTATATAAAATGTTGTATATCTTTATTACTTTTCACAATACATCTCATACTTTAGGGATCTCTGCCCTACCGCACTTTGATTTTTCATATACCATAACCTCCCCTTATTTTCACTTCGGTTATAACAGTAGCACAGTTGAGCCAGGATACTCCTGTAGACCAGGTAGGTCAGTTGGTCAGAGTGACGGTATAACAATCTGATCTCAGATCCAGGGTTTGAGACCTGGGCTAGGCCTGCAATTTTTTCTCATTTAGATCACTGTTGATTATATATATTCTTTAGTTCAACTTTACCATTTTTCATAAAAGTCCTGTAAGGTATGTGTTTTTTCAGAAATAATTCACCAAAGGTATACAGTAATTATTCCAGAAAAGCCAACCAACGTTTCATATCAACTTAATAAACTTGTTTAGTAAACTCAATACTACATGAACACTCGTGTCAGATCCTCTTTGTATATCACTTTGTCTAAAGAGGCATACAAATTCAGGACAACATCTTTATTTAATGACTTTTCATCAGATTTCTCTTAACTTTACCAAAATTAAATATGATATTTCATGTTATATAGTGATTTATTTATCAATCAATATATATTAGATGATTATAATATTTTCTTTGTTCTTTAAATCAATAATATATTTATTTAATTAGATATCTCATAAAGATTTTTTTTAATAGTCAGGCATCTTATTTTAAAATGAACAATATCTTGTTTAATTTACCACGCAGTAATTTATGAGATATTTCAAGAATTTTTTGAGATATCACAAATGATATCCAATATATTTAGTAAAGATATCTATAAAATATATGAAATTTCTTTATAAATATATATATGAAATAACTTAATACTGGTACAAAGACTTTATAAGATATCTTGTTTTGCTCGCAATGGTTTCTTATACTTCTGAGATAAAATATGAATTAATACAAATTACTGTTCTGAGGGACACACAGAGTTATTATATATACATATATTTGGAATCCGCCTGAAGAAGCCCTAGAAGGCAGAAAGGCCTAGCGGACGATCTGAAAGATTTATGTTTTTATTCTATAGATAAATATATTTATATAAATTGTCATACAAAAAAAAAACTTTTTTTTTCCATGTGCTTACTCATGAATTCAACCTTACGACCCCACGGGTCAGGATTATATATCTGTATTGGTATATGTGTGATATGTGTAATGGGGTCATGAGCAGTGTGTATATATATATATATATTTATACATATTGGTCAGCACTAGAAAGTATTGAGTGGTCAGTATCTGGTCAATGTAAAGGTCATCAGCTGTCCATTCACACTTCACCTCTCAGCTAACCTGTAAGTACCAACAGTGAACTCCGGCCACCATTATATCTATTTATATGAACTTCCATGTATAGAGTATATGGGGTCAAGACCCCATGAACTCCTGGTTATTGCTAGATGTAGACTGACCACAGACCACTGACCAGCTACAGCTGATCAACAGTAAATAATTGGAGTTAAATACATGCAGGAAAGCCGAAACCTCTATTTACTTCATCAATATGTAGGATACTTATATTACATGAACCATACATGTACATATCCAAGATGAAAATATTTTCTCAATTTAAAACAACAGCTGATATATGTCTCAAATTTGTTTACAAATTCAAATTTTATAGTAAGATTCTGAAATAAGATGTTTTTTTATTATACACTACCATGCAAATAAGTATGAAGTAATTTTCTTCCATTTTTTTTTTTTAATAGTCATGAAGTTGTTTTAATTGCAATAAATCGACTACAAGCTACATTGTTAATGACAATTTGAAAACATCACCATCCGGTTTATTAAATACATGAGCATCAATTATTAGCAGTAAAACATGTATAATCAAATATAAATAATTATTAAGCTATATCCTGTAACTAACTAACCACATCTGTACTTAATGACATTGGAATGGACAGTGGTCAATATTATATACACTGGCCATTCAAGGACGATGAATAAAGCATGACCACAACACCGAGAGCGAGGCCTATACACAGAAAGCCTCTAGACAGCCTGCCTCTCCTGACACCAAATCAATGCTATTACAATGATGATCATACCAATCCCATAATATTTCCGATTTTCAGCTAAATGTGTAATTCTTAATTATCACCAGAGAGCCAACAACACATATGACATTGTTTCTTTAAAATGAAAGCATGATTGGAGAAGAAGAAATTGATCCCCAATTTCTGTTGAGCTAATCCTGCCTGAAAAGGATCAGACCCCATTAGTTTCTGTCTCTGACAAATAGAAACAGTGTCAGCAAATGAAAAGTGACAACACAAGAGGCTTAATGGGCCTGAATAACTCACATGTTATGTTTTAACCTAACTGAGTATATCAATTCTGCCATTTGAGAAGAGGCAACTTACTTTACACAATCACTTATTGGATCATATATGCCCCTCAGGCCATTGTGAGCTGAAACTAGGTTTAACTCGGTCATTTCAAAAAGTTGTGTCAGTTAAAGACTTAATCTTATTTTCAATATTCAACTCTATTCTTCTTCCCCATTGGGGAACATGTACACTACATCCATTTTACTGAATTCAATCCTAGATAAGGATCGCATACAGAAATAAGAGGCCCATTGGCCTTAACGGTCACCTGACATCCGATTCAAATTAGGACTGTCATCCAGGGGACAATTCATACTTTTCGTCGGTCCGAGTGACCTTGCTGCATCGTCCATTATTTTTTCCTTGTGAACACAATAACTTCAGTAAATATGAACTGATTTTGATGAATCTTTGTATGCAGCTTTGTATCAATGAGATCTTGGATAATTTTGAATACCGGACCAAATCGACCATAACTTACATAGTTATTCCCCTTGGTAATTCTATTATTTTTGGACCCTGTGAACATGATAACTGTATGTCTTCTGTTCTTGGTTAAAAGAAACAAGTAAAAGCGTAAATCAATGATTTATTAAATAAGGCACAAAATTTTAATAGCACCTTGTTAGTAGCAAAAATGAGCCATGAATGAAAAACAAGAATTCCACGGAAGTGGATGTGTCGCCATCGCAGGAAGCTGGGAAATTACGAAGAAATAGACACACTTTTCATTTCAAGAAATAATGTTAAAAGTAAGTTTGAGTTTGATCGGCCCAAGGAAACTCAAGTTATCGCACGAAAACAGATTTTCTATTTATAGTAACAGTGACCTTGACATTTGACCTCTGGACCTGAAAAGCAATCCCAAGCAAGCACTTTTGGTAAGGAAGGACTGCATGAAGTTTGAGTTTGATCGGCCAAAGGAAACTCAAGTTATCGCACGAAAACAGCTTTTCTATTTATAGTAACAGTGACCTTGACATTTGACCTTCGAACCTGAAAAGCAATCCCAAGCAAGCACTTTTGGTAAGGAAGGACTGCATGAAGTTTAAGTTTGATCGGCCCCAGGAAACTCAAGTTATTGCACGAAAACAGATTTTCTATTTATAGTAACAGTGAACTTGACGTTTGACTTTTGGACCTGAAAAGCAATCCAAAGCAAGCACTTTTGGTAAGGAAGCACTGCATGAAGTTTGAGTTTGATCGGCCCAAGGAAACTCAAGTTATCGCACATAAACAGATTTTCTATTTATAGTAACAGTGAGGACCTGAAAAGCAATCCCAAGCAAGCACTTTTGGTAAGGAAGCAAGGCATGAAGTTTGAGTTTGATCATAGCTCACCAGCTTTTAGCAGGCGTCACAAAAAGGTGTACCACATGAATTTACATCTATTCTTGTGTAATGTCAATCAACATCACAGGGACAAATAATAATATAATGACAAAGTGCAATAACACTGCAGGTTACCGTCAAATAGTTTCGAACTCATCTGAGATCTTATTGATATAAGGCTACATACAGAGTTTCATCAAACTTGGTTGATATTTACTCAAGTTATCGTGAACACAAGGTCCAATACAAAATAGTGTAATAATATTTTTACAAAGGGCAATAACTCTGTAAGTTACTGTCCAATAATTCCCATTTTCAAACTCGTCCGAGATCTTATTGATATATGGCTGCATACATAGTTTTATCAAACTCGGTTAACATTTACTCAAGTTCTCGTGTTCACAAGGTCCAATAATAATATTATTACAAAGGGCAATAACTCTGTAAGTTACTGTCCAATAATTCCCATTTTCAAACTCGTCCGAGATCTTATTGATATATGGCTGCATACATAGTTTTATCAAACTCGGTTAACATTTACTCAAGTTCTCGTGTTCACAAGGTCCAATAATAATATTATTACAAAGGGCAATAACTCTGTAAGTTACTGTCGAATAATTCCTATTTTCGAACTTGTCCGAGATCTTATTGATATATGGCTGCATACAAAGTTTCATCAAACTCGGATAACATTTACTAAAGTTATCGTGTTCACAAGGTCCAATATTAATAATATTACAAAGGCCAATAACTCTGAAAGATACTGTCGAATAATTCCCATTTTCGAACTCGTCCCAGATCTTATTGATATATGGCTGCATACATAGTTTCATAAAAATCGGTTAACATTTACTGAAGTAATCGTGTTCACAAGGAAAAGTTAACGCACGACACACGACGGATGACGACAGACAAAAGGCTATCACAATAGGTTACCATGACCTATGGTCAGGTAACCTAAAAATTGAGTTATAATCTGTCCATCCATTTTTCCAAGGGAAGAGTGGTTTTCTTTAACAGATTTTTCATGTTTGGGCCTGCCGCTTTGTCTCCAGAATGGCTATCACTACTGTTATATGTACTAAATCAAGTTAATTCATTCACCCCTGAGGACACATTTGAACTCTTCCAAATGTTCAATTCAAAGGTTGGAAGAGTTAATTGTGAAATTGCAGGATTGAATGAGTTAAATATGTCAATACATTCTCCAAGAGTAGTTTTATAAAGAATTACTATACCTTTCTCTGATTTGACCCAACCATCTGCCCCATCACTGTAGACCCACTTATACATAATTGAATCGGTTTGTAATCAAAAATAGTAACATAAGTAAAGTGTAAAATAAATTATTCTATATCTATGTGTACTTTATTCATGAATCACATACTAGGAGGTTTGTTAACAGATACTTGAACTCACAATTGCAAAGGGGCTATCTCAATATTGATATAACTGTGTATGAAATAAGTATTTGTGAAAAGATTTAATAATTTTACAGAAGTACATGTACCCATTGTATTTGTTAAACCAATGGTAAGCAATATGGGATAACAATTATCAGTGATCAACTTTTGTTAATGTGAATATGTCCCAGAGAAAGACAGGTTGACTGAGACAAAGTTCAGGTCAATATCACTTTTTTCAGGTCCATATAACCTATAGTCACCAAAATAAAAGTCTTTAATTGTTATACATGTATTAGACACTAAATTATTCTGCTTATATCATTACACAACATGGTGTGTAAGCAAACTGACACGATAAAAGTACCAATGTAAAATTAAAATTAAAATGACATCATGAAGTGAATATCAACCCAATGTTCCTAAAAATAGTAACACTAAGTTAATATTATACAATTATGGACATCATGTGAGGTCTATCCCTGATTTACAGACCTGGTCTGAAAAATATTCACAGAGGCCGAAGGGCAGGTCCGTAAATCAGGGATAGACCGAAACTGAAGTCCACAATTGTTTTATTATATGACAATTTACAATGAGATTAATAATTTTCAAGTAATAAAAACATGGATGGCATGGACCATTTTGGAATCACAGTGTGAAGCACTTCAAATAACATACAAACAAATTTAATTAGATTCAATTCATGTGATATTTAATTTCAGGTAAATATTATTTGCACAATCGGCATCATCAATATTCACATATATAGTTCAGAATTTGATGAGATAATTCATTTGTAGTTGAATTCAGTAGTGTGATTGGTAACAGAATCACATACTGGCTGGGAAATTACCTAGGCCTATTTTAAGTAGCGGTCTGTAACACTTTTCTATTTATAGGTCGAGGTCTGTAACACTTTTCTATTCATAGAACGAGGTCTGTAACATATTAACAGACTCGTCACATGACGTCGCTTCTCCAATCAGGGCTGGGAATTAGCACCAGTCATATAATAAACACAAATATTTATGGTACATTGTAGGTCTTGGTGACACATCTCCTTGGTGACTGGGGTATACTATTGTGTAAGAACATTGTACTTACATTGTAGGTCTTGGTGATACATCTCCTTGGTGACTGGAGTATATTATTGTGTAAGAACATTGTACTTATATTGTAGGTCTTGGTGACACATCTTCTTGGTGACTGGGGTATATTATTGTGTAAAAACATTGTACATTTCCTTGGTGACTAGGTTATATTATTGTGTAAGAACATTGTACTTACATTGTATGTCTTTGTGACATATGTACTTGGTGACTGGGGTATATTATTGTGTAAAAACATTATACATTTCCTTGGTGACTAGGTTATATTATTGTGTAAGAACATTGTTCTTACATTGTAGGTATTGGTGACACATCTACTTGGTGACTAGGTTATATTATTGTGTAAGAACATTGTTCTTACATTGTAGGTATTGGTGACACATCTCCTTGGTGACTAGGGTATATTATTGTGTAAGATCATTGTACTTATATTGTAGGTCTTGGTGACACATCTCCTTGGTGATTGGGGTATATTATTGTGTAAGATCATTGTACTTACATTGTAGGTCTTGGTGACACATCTCCTTGGTGACTAGGTTATATTAATGTGTAAGAACATTGTACTTACATTGTAGGTCTTGGTGATACATCTCCTTGGTGACTGGGGTATATTATTGTGTAAAAACATTATACATTTCCTTGGTGACTAGGTTATATTATTGTGTAAGAACATTGTTCTTACATTGTAGGTATTGGTGACACATCTACTTGGTGACTAGGTTATATTATTGTGTAAGAACATAGTACTTACATTGTAGGTCTTGGTGACACATCTCCTTGGTGACTAGGTTATATTAATGTGTAAGAACATTGTACTTACATTGTAGGTCTTGGTGATACATCTCCTTGTTGACTGGAGTATATTATTGTGTAAGAACATTGTACTTACAATGTAGGTATTGGTGACACATCTCCTTGGTGACTTGGGTATATGATTGTGTAAGAACATTGTACTTACATTGTAGGTCTTGGTGATACATCTCCTTGGTGACTGGGGTATATTATTGTGTAAGAACATTGTACTTACATTGTATGTCTTTGTGACATATCTACTTGGTGACTGGGGTATATTATTGTGTAAGATCATTGTACTTACATTGTAGGTCTTGGTGACACGTCTCCCTGGTGACTGGGGTATATGATTGTGTAAGAACATTGTACTTACATTGTAGATCTTTGTGACACATCTACTTGGTGACTGGGGTATATTATTGTGTAAGATCATTGTACTTACATAGTAGGTCTTGGTGACACATCTCCCTGGTGACTGGTTTCACTTTTTTGTAAGAACATGTATTTACCTTGTAGGGACATTGTGGGTCTTGGTGACACAACTCTTTGGTATCTGGGTTGTTGGAGAAGAAGAAAGGAATATGCTCTGTTGGAAGGTTGAGATCGGTCCAGTTTGCTGACACATCAGCAAGGATAAAGATAAGCAGGTTCCACCAGACCATCCTAATAAAATAAACATTTACACAAGGATCGACACTTTATTTTTTCTTTTTAAATATCACTTAAAAATATATTAAGAAACACACAAGAGGCCCAATGGGCCTGTTCTGCCAACATTGCCTCTAATGTTGTCTTCAGTTTCGGCAATTTTGAACTAAGAGTGGTTCAAGACCATTCACCAGAATATGAACAAACTGGGCGGACCAGAGGTCATTAAGGCATTAGAATTTTCAATAAAGTTGACTTCTGAGAAATTAAATGGAGCAAAGTCTTGGTTTTGAATGAAGCTGGTAGTCCTTTACCCAGAAAAGATTTGTGACAAAATTCATTATCTAAAATATCTCATTGATCTTTAAAAGAAGTTATTTGATGACTTTGACAGGTTTGACCCCAATGAACCTGAAATAGATCAATGTCATAGCTGACAACAATTGTTCATGGACCTAATGATCACCTGAGTGAATAGAATGTTTTTCAAATGAGATAACTCAGATGATGGTTGCCTCCACTAGTCTTAAACATCTCAGCCATCAATAAATAACAAGGCTTTGACAGAACCAAAAATTTTCATAAAATCGCTTCAACAGAAAGTGCTGCAGTGGCCATTTTGAAATTATCACCTAAAAAAATATGACCCATTGTCAAGAATATGTACTGAATATTTATATAACGTCTCCCTGAAACTCGTTCGGCAGAAATGGAATTTAAGTTTAAATTACTTTTTTCCTGATAGCTGCTGAAGGTGGTGGCCATCTTTGATATCTGACCGACCCAAACAAGTTTAACAGGAAAGAGAATAGTGTGCTTCCACTGGGGATCGAACCCTCGATCACCAGGTTCCTTGTCGGACACTCTACCACTGAGCTAAATGGAAATCCCCTCTAGATCAAAGCTAGAAGGCGACTTAATCCTATGTATAATTAAAACCTGCCACACTACTCCCCCCTTTTTAAATGTGTTCGCCCTCGAACACCACAACCCAGGATCTAACTCCCTGTCACCATAGGGAGAGCAAAGGATGCCATTTGTAACAGGAAAGAGAATAGTGTGCTTCCATTGGGGATTGAACCCTCAATCTCCAGGTTCCTTGTCGGACGCTCTACCACTGAGCCAAAGGGAATTTCCCTCTAACTCAAAGCTAGAAGGCAACCTTATTCTGATGTACAATTAAAACCTGCCACACAAGTAACAACACTTTTTCAGAAATATGTACATGTATACTGAACATTTCTATTAAGTTTTATGGAAGTTCCTTCAGCAATATTATAAGCTGCACAACTGGAGTTTCAATTGAAAATTTGAAAATATTTAGCACTCTGACAGAATCATGCACATTACTATGAAGTTCTTTGCATAAAGACGAATCGCAATACGCTATTTTAGCCTTCAGCTCAGGTGTGATCTTTGATAACACTCCAGTCTAGCAAGCTGCAGGCCAAACTCTACGCCTCAAGGAACACTTAATAAAAAAAAATGACTGTTTCTCCCTAGGCACCCATCTCCAACTAACCTTAACTGTTGCAAGGACACCAAACAAATTTTAACACATTTCAAATCTGTGATATTGAATGTCAAGGTCATCAATTTGAACAAACATGGCTGTCTTTAATCCCAATAAGTTACTGACTACGTATCACTTATATAAGACTTGATAATTGGTTGTCTGAGATTTTTGAATATATTTTTATTATTTTACATGTGCCCAAGAACTGAAAGTGTATCAAAGTTTCAAATTCATTTTAACCCAACTTGAGTCTTCACAGCCCTTCACACCAGCAATCTTTGAAGCTACAGACTAAATGATTATTAAGAATCTTTTTAACTTACTTGAACTGTGATCATGAAATTGTGTTAGTTATAAGGTCATTTAATCAAATAGGCTTGATTTGGTAGCCCTTCATCCCAGTAATGTAGCTATAGGGAAAATTTGTATAGGTTTTATCGATTCGTTTGATGACATTAGAATATTTCAACATTTTTCAGCTATGTGACATACACTGTTTTTAATTTAGACAACTGTTTTTAGCACATTTGATCCGTGACCTCAAAGTTACGTTGTGCCAAGGTCATTTATTCAAGACAAATGTAGCTCTAGCTGTAGATATGTAGAATAGTTCATGCTCTGTGTTGTATGTTGTATATTCAACAAAGAGTTAAAATTTGTTTCATTGTCTCTGAGTTGCAAAGAATTATTATAAACAGTTATGACAGTTGATTGTTTTTCCACACAGCATCTCGGCTATGCCCAGAAAGGTTATTCATCCAGTGCCATGGCCACTGGTCATGACATTTGTATGTTAACATTTTTCTGTAACATTCCTGGGAATTTTCAAAATCTCTTTACCCTTCAAAAAAGCCCATAATCTATCAGTGGCTTAATTGGTATAAATATATATCCTGCAGAGGAAATAACATACCATAAATTTAACAGGAGAATTCCTTTTCAATACCTGGTATAAACAAGAAACGTGAGGGGACTCTCTAAGAGTAACAAACATTATATACTACAGCATCTTGCAGGCACTCTTTGGGCCAAAATATCAAGACTCTTCTTCCCCTTATGGATGATAGTTAATAACACCAGTTAAAAGAAAAAAGCTGATGCCAAGGATGGTCAAATGCTGAGCAATTCCATGAGTTCACAGGCTATACTGGTATGGTATGTAATGCATTGCTAATAATACAAATGTAATGATATATGTAATTTGCTTATAAAGATCTATTGACAAGTATGGTAATTGTGACTTAAGAAATCTATTGTTATAGAAAATTCAAAACTATATGTACATCTTACATGTGATCCCTGTTACTAGTAGTGACAGAATTTATGGAACGGCCTCATAAAAGTGATATCTTCACATGAAAGATATAAAATTTCATAAATCTTCCCTGCAGTATGCAATATATAATTTAAAGGTTTTACATGTATTTGCATCGCGTCAACTAGTTCTTCAAAATTTTGAAATGATTAAAAAAAACTTTTCAAGATTGAATGCATGAACCTTCAGCTACAAAACATACCTTACAACTGAACTAAAATGTGAGTTGTGACTTTTTACACACAGGAGCAGTTTACTGAAGATTTTTGTGATTTCAAAAGCCACATCAACCATCTTGGTTTTGAAGTGGGTATGCCTCTCCACTGCTAGTAAAAGAGAAATCAAGCTCTGCAAGATCTAGACATAAAAATGAATTTTAGATTACATGTCATGTTATATTATTTATTTTTTTTGGGGGGGGGGGGGTCTTTTTAGCTATGTTGGTTTGGGCTGCGAACTGGGAAATTGGGGGCTGCTGGTATGATCCCTGATTAATTTAGGACAGAAACAAAACACTTTCTCTAGCTACAAATAACAATTTCAAACCAACACATAAATACAGGAAAGTATGCATTTATCTAGATCAAGGACAAACTCTGCACAAGGGGGAATTTCCCTTTAAGCTCAGTTTAGAAAAGCGTTGGACTGGAAAGTCTGGGTTGCTGGTATGATCCCTTGTTTGGGAAGAGCACACTTTTATAGCAAACTCCACGCTTGGGTTCTTATGAAGAAATCCGCGACAGTGTCCTTCGTCACTAAAGTTAACAGCTTACAAGTTGCTAGAAAGATATGGGATCTGTACCAGCATAACAACATCTATTCTTTGGAAAAGATACAACATTGCGCTGCTCAGTTCATAACATCTGATTTCCGGAGAGAAAGCAGAGTGACATCAATGCTGGATGCCCTGAAGCTGCCATCACTCAGGGACTGCAGAAGGGACCATCGACTTGTCCTTTTCTATAAAATTGTGAAAGGGCTACAGTGGCTGTACCTGTCAACCAAGTCTTGTCTACATCAAATAATCGGACAAGAGCAAAGAACAGTGATAGATTCCAGCAGTTTCAGTGTATAATACTGACACTTACAAGAACTCATTCATCCTAGATCTGGTCAAAACAACTGACTTGAAAACAATATAAACTTTACTGCCAACAAAATAAATCCATTTGCACTCCTCCAACCCGTGAAATATACTCTATATCACGGTTCTTACAGTACCATACAGAAACAGACACTATTCTCTTAATCTCCGTTTTGTAAATCATATCTTAACTAATGAAGCATTGTCAGCTTTAATTTTAAATTCGTCATTTCGAAACATGGCCGTTTCTTCTCGTTATACACTTGATCGCTTCCTTTAAAAATCAACGTTAATACGAATGACCACGTAATGCACTTCGGCTGCTGGTTTCACAGTTGTAAGGAATCCAATCTCGTTCTTTCCACCTTCAACAACGCCTTCATTTTCGGCCTGGCCCTGAGGCAAGGGTTTGGTCAAATTATTTAATGTTTCAAACTATTCCTGGATAAACAGCAATTATGGTGCTTATAAATATTGCGAAAAATATTTCAGTTACCTCATCTCTGATGCATTCAAATGCAAACTGATTCAAAACCATGAATTATACATTTTTTCTGTAAAATCTTCATACCTGTCCAACTGTAAGCATGCTTCATATGCCACTTCCTGTTTACTTGCGCATACGTGGTGCGCATAGAGAAAGTATGAAATCTCGCGGTGGCCTCCTCGTGATGTCATCAGTAACCAATCAGATTCACGTTTTTCAGTGCGTCTCGAGGTGTGGGTCACAACCTCTGACCTTTATTCCTTGTCGGCGCACAACCTGGAAGATAAAACTTTATGATAAATTGATGGTTTCTAATTAAATGGTAAGTATTTATCTATATGAATAGTTAACCAATATACTTGTTGTCATCGTGCTGAATTTTGAGACGACATGATGTGATATTTCGTGTAAAAATCTGCCATTACTTGAATTCCCGACGTTTCCTGTGAGACCGCCATTCTATCATTTGTAGACATTTGGCTGGTTTACACTGAAAATGCGTTTCTTAAAATAACTCTGGGAGGAATTCTTGTGTAAGACGGATTCTATTCATTTATTGTGTGCTGTGAGTAGTAAAATTATGCCCTAACGTTTAGCAGATGTGTCTGTTTACAGACATTTGTTTGGTGTAAACACGGCGGACAGCTACACATGGAAAGGGTGCGTGACCTCTGAAGGCTTGTCCCTGTGACACGGTCAAATGCAATACACGGTTATAAACGGTACCGAGGATTAGGCCGCGGTGCAGCGTTTTAGTGACAAGACGTCAGCTCTGTTGTTTGCATATGTCTTTAACACTGTTTTTTACATTTTAAAGGAACTCTAATTTCAATCGATTGTGAGACTGATCAGGAATAAAGGTAGCCACGACCTTTGTCCTTTAGCATATGCACTTGCTAAAGGAAGTAGGTTACCTGCATATTTTATGCAAACGAGATTCAGTCTGGGTTGAAATGTTATTGATCTGAACCCTGCTAGGGGCCACTTTGACTATATAAACGTGAATAGTTGTTATTCGTTTGTATTAAACGTTCACTTGTACTGACATTGAGTAAGGTCTAAATAAACATGGATTACACAGCACTTGCTAGTACAGAGAATTATTCAGAAAAAATATCGTCTATGATCGTGTAGCTGTAAATGTGGCCCCATTATAAAATTGCTCCATGATATTTTGAAAGAGGACAATATAATGCCATAAATAGAGAGAATATGTATAGTTACGTACACAAGACAGCTAATGGCTAAATATACACTCCTTTGTAAAGAAAATACAACTGAAATAGAAATACAGATGTGAAAACTGGGATATATATATATTACTTCCTTGTATCAACTTGACAACAAGATGGTCCACTGTCAAAGACCTTCATATAAGAAACCCAATAATTTGTTCAGTTCAATGAACAAACTTTAATCATTTATCTGGTCAAAATTTCATTGAAAATATTATGGGGGGATGTCTTTCTCCTTCAATACTGTAGGCCAAGTTTCAGCAAGAAAACTTCCTTAATGTAATTAAATTTGGATTAAAATTTGTAAACATTTGTTAACAATATACCAAGACTAAGTCTGCATAATATATGTACTTAATTTATTAGAATAATGCACTCTAATTAGTTCTGATTCTGAACAATAGTTAATTTATTTAATTAACATATATTATAAAAATATAGGATAATCCTTTGGAAACTAAGTACCACATACCATGCTTATTGGTTTTGATTGTTTAGGATGATTTTGAATATGAGTGAAGGGAGGCAATGATATTTTTAATAAGCTTAAGGTAATAATTAATGGCCTTAACAGCTGTCATATTCCTTTTTGGCTACCTACATTGTATGCATGTGGTAGACTCATGATTTTCGACCCTGAAATTGAGCTTTTTTGACCAGTGAATTTGCTTAACTATTTCTATTTTCTAAGATCTGATGAATATTCTGAACAGCTCAAATGATGCCATTTAAAAGTGTTATTTTTTCTTTAGGGTATACTTTCACACATTTTCTTTATGCTTTTAATTTTAAGCACAAGTAATCTCCCCACTGAAAGTTCCCTTTAACCATGTAAAATGTGAAAAGAGAAATATATACCAGGTACATATCATATTGTCTGTATAATATTTAACGAAAGTCAACAGAAACCCAACTACAAGGAATTTCCTTTCTGAAATAAGGAAATTAAATATTGAGTGTGAAATAGAATTAAAACATTTGATAACGGAAAATGGCCTCCATTTGCTGTATTCAGGTGATGAAGGGCTATTTTTAACCATTTTTGGTATATGGGGCCTGTCAGTGCGGCTATAGAAATAGGAAAATTGCATTGTGTACTAAACAGTCATGGAAATTAGGAATTTTTGAATCAAACAAAATGAAATCTTTCACAAAGTACCAAACATTGGGGGAAATTACCAATAGGAATGGGGCTGAAATTTAATCCCATTGAAGTCCTGTGGTGCCCAAGCTACCTGATGCTAGATAGAAATAAATCATCTTCTTACAAAGTCATAATGAAAGAATATTTAAGATGAAATGTACTTAATTACAAATTTTGGTAAACTGGGGTCTAAGGTAATTTTTTGCTTCAGATATATACATGTATGTGAGTGGAATATTTGTACAAGCACTTTTAGTTTACAATAATGTTGGGTGATTTTTTTACCACAAGTTGGGCTTGGATGTCTGTTAATCAAAGCATCCTGATCATCAATCCCACTTTAACAAGTATTGGACATTGAAAAAAAAAATGGTTGTAACTGGTGTTTGCATGTTATTGTCAGGATTTTGCTGTTGTCGACATACCAGTATATATATATGGCTTGGAAAATATGAACAGTCTATGGTTGTTCTGAAAACTTGACAACTGATCATGTGTCTGCACTCACTATCACCTGCAGAGTTGGTTATATAGCTACATGTATAATACCTGCAGAAGGTCTTGTAAGTAATAAGGACAACATGATTTCATATATATATATAGGCTCTTGATCCAAACAAACATATGGTGGAAAACGAAAATCAATATTCAAAATCATACAAGCAAAGTGGTAATTGTGACCTTGCAGTATAATTTGTCAACTTTTAAAAGACAAATTTATATGCTTTGTCAAGGCACAAACATTAAACGATAACATTACACTACATACAAAAATACCTCCAAAAAAGGAACAATTAGGTTACTTAGGTTACGTCATAACTAAAGACTGATAGCATATAGCCGTTGTCACCGGCCTTTAGTCAAAAACTGTTAATATTGGAGAAGTTGTCAAATACTAATCATAATATATTATTAAACATGCACGTCCCTCATTTAGATGAATAGAATTGATTATATATCATTCTTAGCTTAGATTGGTGGGTCACATCTTAGCTTAGATTAGTGGGTCACATCTTAGCTTAGATTGGAGGGTCACATCTTAGCTTAAATTGGTGTCACATCTTAGCTTAGATTGGTGGGTCACATCTTAGCTTAGATTGGTGGGTTACATCTTAGCTTAGATTGGTGGGTCACATTTTAGCTTAGATTGGTGGGTCACATCTCAGCTTAGATTGGTGTCACATTTGCACATGTTTAAGCAATTAACATCTCTTATTAAACTACTATTTTGACAATTAAATGAAAGTTAGTAAATTTTCTTCCAGACTTAGTAAAAAAATATTGTGTTATTTTTGTTTTTGTGTTTAAATAGATATTGATAAAAATCAACTGTTACCACGTTATTAATTTTACTTAAAATGCTCAAAAAAATAATAAGTGCATTTCAAGCCAGGAAGGAATCATTGAATATAAAAAGATCGTGACCATTTTGCCATATGAGTGTAGAAAGCTACACACTAGTACTTGTCACATGGACTTGTGTATACATTTGGGCCTACAGCAAGAAGAGGACTTTTGACCCCAATAGATCATGCGAGTTCACCAGAGAGGTTATACCACTTAAAAGTTGAGCCTTTGACCTGTCACAAGTGTAGAGTTCATAGGCCTGTCATGGCAGCTACCTTTGATCCCAAGCTGAATTTGAATTCATCATACAATATTATCAGGGATTAGTTTTCAATGGGTATTAATAACAGAGCTGACTAAATTTGTTTTAGCATTTAAAAAAGTGTAAGTTACAGGTCCCTAAATTAAAGTCAAAGCAAATTAAAGTTCAACAAGCTCCCTATTAAATAGATGCTGTGCATGTAGTCACCTTAAATTTTACCCCCCTGATAATTATATTCAAAGACCTCAATTAAAGATCGGAACTTATATATATATTGACATTGGCTATACAAAAAATACATAGCGAGGTGCTAAGAAATGACCCATAATTGAAAGTTTATTCCTACAGAGGTTTACTTCTCTTTTGCTAGCTGTTGAGAGTAATTCCGACCTCAATTCATGATAAATGTTGGCAAATTCCCTGGTAAAATATTTTAACTTAAGCAGATTATAAATAAGAAAACAAAGGCTAAGTAACCCTGATCGATAAAGAATCTTTAGAATATTTGCCATTTGATAACATTCTGTTATTTTATGAATGCACAACACATGTTATAAACATTGAAGATAAGAACGATAATGTTTATAACAGATCTAGCTTTTTTATAACAACATTAAATTTAAGAGAGGATGTTAAAAGTCTGGTGAGCTATTTTTATCAAGACATCAGCCTTAAAGCTTTATTTTTGACTAAGTTAACTTGGTTATGCATGTTTTTAATAGCTCTTGTACAAGTTCAATATATTGAAATTACAAATATATATTCTGATTTGTAATAAGGGTATTTGAATATGACTTACTAGGGGGTTGAAATTGAGAATGACTATTACATCTTTCAGGGGGCTTGTTTAACCTTTAAAATACCTGAATATGTCTGTATCTTTCAGAATTTTGTATAATCATAATTCAGGGCTGTCAGATGACTCTTGGCAATTAGCAATTTCAGAAATAAAACCTGTTCCCATCAAAACACATGTCAAATAGACTTTTCCTTTAACTTCAAACTCCTTGGGTCAAAAATATACTCTCAAGGGTTTATGAAATTCATAATAAGAAGTGTTTAGGTCTTTTAAACTGGTATTTATGTTAAAATTTGATTCTTCAAAAAAGATGTGATGTAAATCTCCCAATCAAAAACTTGTCTAATACAAATGTACATTGTACCTAAAGGTATATATATTACTGTAGAAAATAAAGAAGAAAACTTGCTAAATGTGTATACAACTGACGAGCTGTGTGTGTGTAAAATATAATATCATATCAGTTTTATTATCAAAACTTAACAATCATGACGAGGATGAAATTCTGCATCATGCTTATAAGCTTAAAATCAGCCTATGAGGATTTGATATAAGTACTTTAGGCTATACTTTAGTATATAAGTGTAATTAAATCTGATAAAGAGGACCTTGAGGATCTGTATCAGAAACACTATAATTAAGCATCTATAGTTATACATGTAACGCAGTTTTCTGAAACAGAGCATAAATTGTTATATATTTATAAGTACCACAAAGAAAGTATTTCGGTACGTATCATCATCCTATATATCATGACTCTGGGGTTTTGAAGAGGTGTGTGGCAAAATTTAATTTGCTTTCCAGGAAATTTGTATGTGTTAACACACAGTGTATAAATGAATCAGCCTTTTTTTCTTTATTCATTTAAAAAAAAAAAGACTTTTTAATGAAACTATTAATTTTTGCAATTTAACTAAACATAAAAAGCTTAATAAAATGAATGACCAATTCTATGTACCGGTAATGCAGAGAACACAAATACCACAGCAACCATCAACTTCTCTTAAAAGTTCTCGAGAAACGTCAGTAGAATATGTTTTTGAAAGTTGATGGACCATAAATTATCTTCTAATGGCCCTAGCTAATAACTGTCTAAGTGTTGTTATTGATGATTCTCTTACAGTCCTGCAGTGATACAAACAATCTTCTTGGTTCCCTAGCTATCTAAGGTAATGATAGCTAGGGTACAACTATGATCAACATATACAGTATCCATGTGTTAATTAATCCGTCTTTAGAACTTAACAAACATAAGAGAAATGACAACATTTGACAAGTGTAGTTATCAATTTTCAGGGTGATTTTAATTATCAAAGATTGTCACTATGATTTTCGAATTGTTAGACATCTACGTATACAGGCCTGATAATAATCTAAGCAGGTTGGCGTTACATGCCCTTTAGCATGACATTCAGCGTTATTAATGTCTGTACATGTATATGTACATGTATTAACCTTTGAAATGGGGACATTGAATTGTGTTTAGGAAAAATAAGACTTTTTATACCCAATAATGGCCTGGAAAATGTAGTCAAAAGGCAAAATCAGGAAAAATAATATGATTAAATAAAGTATGAGTGACTTGTCATCCTTCAGTGTTTTAGTATATAATACTAGTCAGTGACATTTCACTATGATGACTACGTGAGTTAAGTCTTGTTGCTGCGACACATCATTTAGTGTGTCAAACCAGTAAATATATATAAGCACGCTGTTTCAATTTGATCAGGATTTTGAGTAAAACAGTTGACAAATTTAAAGAAGGTCATTGGCATTAAATGTGGGCCAGTGCAATGATTTGCTACTTTTGAAAGAAACAGTCATAAAACTCAATTAAATGAGAGCAGACGGTGGAACGAAAAGTTAAAAGCAATGCTTTATTGCTATTCTTATTCATTTTCTGCTTTATCTTGATTCATTATTTTCCATATAAATTGGTCAACAATTGCAAATGACTGTCTGCAAATAATGAATTGTTTTTATCAGGCCGAGGACAGAATGTTCATGTATATCTAGTTTTACGAAGGCTCCATAAACATGGATTTTCTACCTGGATTTGTCATCTCTGTCCTCATATACAACACTTTAATATAAAGTTCCAATTCAATGTCTGTGTGGTACCAAGTAGTAATGTAAGTTATATTAATTCAGTCATTAATATTTCATAATCTATTTATATACATAATGCCTGAATAGATAACTTACTTTTGTAGCTGATTGATCTGGTGATTTTTTTTCCAAATTTACCATGCATGTATTTATTATATACATGATTATCGATGGGCTAGTGATTTTTTCAAAAATTTGCCTGTGAGCTAGTATACATCCTAGTATGATAAATAATGAAGTAGTTTTATTGCAGGTGAGTCAATGACTTCACGTGAAGAAGAGCAGAGCTCCAACTCCTACACCACTGTAGCTGCCACGGTCCTGTCCGCGTCCGGCCAAACCATGGCAAATGCTGGCCACCTCTTCACCATGGAGGGTGGAGTCAATGAGAATGTCATCCATGTCATTAATCCTGGCCAGCTGCCCATGGGCTTGTCCAACATGAACGTCTGCACCACCACCGTAGGGTCCCACCCCAATCTACAGACTATCACCATCTCCCCCGCCAACTTCCCCATTCCTGTCAGCCTCACACCCACACAGGTGAGTACAGGTATAGGCATCTGGAAAATATTATTTATATAATATGACAGGTTGATTAACATTCATTTGTTAGCTTTGGTGACAATTTGTCTAAAATTTAAACTAAAAATATTCATTCATAAATGAAAAATATTTGCTACAACATTTTAATATAGGTTTCATCTGGTGGAGTGGCCAATGGGACACAACAAATGGTGATGACAACCCAGGACCTTGGAGCCAAGCTGAAGGACGGTCTGCCAACCCAGGTGGTACAGGTGCCAACTGCTAGTATCACAACTATAGACTGGGCAGCCAAACTCAAAGTAAGGCCAGTTGCTAGAATATCACACAATAGATTCAGAAAGCTAAACTCAAAGTAAGGCCTGTCAATAGTGTCATTCATTCACAACCATAAGCAAAGCAGCCAAACTCAAAGTAAGGCCAGTATACTGGTATCACAGCCATAGACAGGGTCACCACTCAAAGTAAGGTTAGTCACTGGTACCGCAGCCATAGACAGGGTCGCCACTCAAAGTAAGGCCAGTATATTGGTATCACAACCATAGACAGGGCCGCCACTCAATGTAAGACCAATATACTGGTATCACAACCATAGACAGGGCCACCATTCAAAGTAAGGCCAGTCACTAGTATCACAGCCATAGACTGGGCCACCACTCAAAGTAAGGCCAGTATACTGGTATCACAACCATAGACAGGGTCACCACTCAAAGTAAGACCAATATAACTGGTATCACAACCATAGACAAGGCCACCACTCAAAGTAAGGCCAGTATACTGGTAGCACAGCCATAGACAGGGCCGCCACTCAAAGTAAGACCAATATACTGGTATCACAACCATAGACAGGGCTGCCACTCAAAGTAAGACCAATATA